CAAGTGGTACCGTTATGATACATAGAAATGTAGGGAATGCTGGCTATGTGGAACACCATGTGTGTTGGATAGAAAGCCATTAGGCAACACTCTCACACAAGCGTGATTCTCAACACTACTTCTTCTCTAGGTACGTGTCCCCATACCATCAGTCACGAAAACAAAAAATAAACATTTTTGAATATGTGAACTATGGCAAAAACTGCCAGTAACATTCACATGAGAAAAGGACCTCAGCCTACTTCTTCTGATGGACAAGCAATAAGGAATAACTTAAGTTTAAGTGGAATTAATTTGAATCACCTAGTTCAAATTTACTCCAAATTTGTCATTTTGGATTTTGAATTAAACTTTAAATGAGGGGTGGTAAAAAAGCAGTGTAGGAGAATGGTTTCTTGCTTTTAACAGACACCCAGTGAGATTAGTTACACTAACATGTAAGGGCATTAACAGATTCATTTATCACGTTTAGCCTACATCTGTGTCCAATCATTTCTTTATGTAGAAAAGACTAGAAATGCTGTAAAACATCTATAATGACAATATAATCCGCCATTTTTTAACACTTAATAATTCAAATTTATGACAAGCTGAAAAGCAAATTTTATTGTAATAACAGTTATAGATTGCTTTTTTTCTATTGTAATTATAACTGAATTATAATATTTAACAAACTTATAGCAGTAAAAAGCAATTTACATTTGTATGACCCAATTCATACATTATAAGAAAACTTAATCACTAAAGAGATTTGATATTGAGCTGACTTCTTTTTAATCAGACCTTAATGATTTAAACATGAACTGGTTCATGTTGATGTTTTGATGTCTATACAAACTATATCAAGTTCACATCAATAAAATAGACAATCTTTTGTGGAAATTATAACATAGGAGTTTACACCAATATTGTACAAATTTCACGAATTTCCAAATCACAAACCTAAATCTACAACTCCAAGTGGACGGCCAATCATATGTCACACAGGAATACAGTACACAAGAGATAGAGATTTACACATTAATTTTAAGTATTCCTAAAACACTGATACTGTGTATTGATTTCTGGTGTAGATTCAAACATTTAAAGTAGTCCAAGCTCCAAAAGAAGATATTAAACAGGCAATGAGGGGACCAGATAACCCAGACACTGCGCTAATGAGAAAAATCCTTATCAAGGTACAGAGTAATTTGCTGGTGACAAAAAGACTTTGTACAGAGCACAAGTCCTAGTGTTACAAGTTAGACTGGAACATATTACCTACAACTAACTAGTGTGTCATTGGGTGCAAGATCGGAAATCTACACGAGGCACTGCCTTGAAATCGTATTGAAAACATTTCAAAAGAATTTAACTGGTAATTCTAAACTACAGAACTATCGTGTATTTTGTAACAAACTCCGACCAGCATGGAGTCATTCATCTAGCACAGGTAGATTTTAGCATTAAGTTCGAGAGAAAGAGACATGAAAAAAACACTTTTCAGTTGATGTATATATTTTTTTAATTTCTGGACAAGAAAATTGAACTTGACATATAGATATGAAAAAAAATTGAGAATAAAGATCTCTATCCTTCAGGCCAAATGAAGTAGCTGTTGTGCTATACCTTTTAGCTCTAACAAAAATAAAAGGGTAGTTTCTAGGTAGGAATTACAAATGTATTTCTTTGCAATGGTAGGTAGATAGCCTAAAATATTTCTTTGCAAGGGTAGGCGGGTAGTCTAATTTTTTTACTTTGTTATTTTACGAACTGAATAAAGAATTGTTTCATTCCAAAAAAGAGCTTGTTTAAAAATGAGGCCATGGAAGAAAAATAAGAAACATAGATTTATTATTTATGGCCTTAGTCGTGTTGAAATCAGTAAAGGTGTATATAATATTGACATGCTACTCCATTACTTATCAATAATGAGAGAGAGTGACATGTCCGGGTACCTGTCTCAATCCTAGAGTAACAGCTCTCACATTCCTACATTAAAACGCTAGGTGAACACCTACTTTATACGATCGTAAAACCCATTAAATTGTCTGTGATTTATGACCATGTTTGATCTCTGTATTGACAAACACCACATCTATACATCACGACAGTCAAAGTTCGGCCCTGACACCAGCCGAGTTTCATTATTTTTGTTCATTATTACCGTGATAAATTTGAATTTTTAATCACCAAATTTAAATCCCAAACATTCTTGTTATGGAGAAAAGTAAAATATCATATACTTTACAAAGAAAAGCAGAAAATAATCCGTCCATCTCAGATTGCAACATGGTGCCATAATTTCTAACCTGGCTTTGTTAGAGTCCATTATACCAGGTGAGCTAGTACATCCGAGTAAGAGAGTTGTCCTGTTTGATTATTGTTCAATTGGAAATGAATATTATGCAATAGGCAATACTCTGGAAATTAACGTGACAACAGACCAAAGAATTATTTTATATTTAGATTTGAAAGAGTCTAAGTACTGTTAGCACCAACTGTGAGACACATTTTTTCTTGGGACCAACACAGTCCTTACAGGGTCTAGGAGACCCATAAATAGTTTCTAATATTAAACCATTTATTTGCAAACATTCTGATAATTTAAACCGAGTTTGTTGATTTTTGTGTGATAAACTATTTCAAATGTCAATTAATGGAGAGAAATTTAAGTGACATGATATGCATGATATAAGGAAAGGGTGAAAATTTAATCAGAAATTGTCCTTAATAAATGGAAAAAAAACTTGAAATAAAACTTTCAGATTAGTGAAGAATTTTGTATTAGTAATTAACAATAAATCAATTTAAAACTATTTGCATTTCTCCCAATTATGATGCAAACGGGTTGTGTATTCATGGAAGCTATTTTACTTGTTAATCCCATTTGGTGTTATCACTGATGAAGTGATAACACCCATGGAAAACAAATAATCGATCACAAATTTAAATGGTGATATTAACTATTTCAATTCTGAAATGGTGATTCTGTATTCTCTATAAGGTGAGTGATATTATCACCAAATTGGATTAAAACAAGCAAGCCCCCAGTAAAATTCACTGTATTTTATTGTTCCTATAGCAATTTTCAGTTGATAAATTAAACCATGAGAATAAATCATTGTTCCACATTTCTACTCGTTCAAAAAAATGTAAATCTTGGAACTTGAAACAATTCCATTAAGGCTTAATCTATAATAATACAGCATCAGAATGCAAAAAAAACTTTGAACACAAACACCAAAAAAAAGTGAAAAAAAAACAATGATCAACATTCAAGGCCTATCGTAGGAAGGGAAGTAACTCTTACAAATGTTTTGCTGCCTTTATGGCTATTTGATTCATACAAAAATAAATCTCTCAATTTGTATCATAAAATTTAAACTTAGTCAGACTGAGACTGAACCAAATTTTGTTTGTGTAGTACATTTTTCATACTTTTGGTGAAGTTACAAGATAAATTCTGTTTTATTTTTAAGTTTTGTGAGATTCATTAATTAACAAAAATTATATTTTTGAAGTAAAGATATTTTCATTTCCAGTTAGTCTATTCATTGAAGAACAAAACCCTGGATATATTTGTTTTTGTTACCTGCATTTTTTATCATTATTTTTTTCAAATAATCTGAATTTGGATTCAATGCAACAATGCAAATTTTGAAAATAAAATACAACAAATGCCAAAGGATTTGCTGGCAATTCAGGTGCCCCTATATATTAAGAAAAGAATTGGAGATAGCCTGTATGTTCATTCTTTTTTAAATCAGCTGAACCGAGACAATTTTAAAACACTAGAAACATGCAAATTGCCATTCCCACATAATGAAAGAACATAGTGCATGTGGGTTGGATTTTAATTTGTTTACATTCTTTCATGTCAATCAACTGAGTTTGAAGTCTTAAACTCTGCTTGGCAGTCCCTCAAAAACTCCATTAAAAATTGAATAGCTAGACACATACTGGTAATTTCTTTTCCCCCCCTTTGTGTTCAAGGGACTCATCAATGCAGAGAAATCATATTTTCCACATTAGTGCAAAAAATATCTGCTAATTGAAGATAAAGCTCATGTATCTATCATAATTATAGAGAATAAAAAAATATATTCATAAAATAATAATTACATTTTGCAACTTGCTTACCATTGGTATAACAGATGTATTTGATTTTTACACCAAAATTGTTTGATAGAACTCATATGGCAAGCACTCCTGTATTTTAGAGTGTTTTTATTATAGTTTATTCTATTGATACAAAACAGAACAAAGAAAGACAACTCCTGCATTTTTCTATGCTTAAACAAAAACAGGTGTCACTCTACTATCATTCCAGCCAACAACTACTGTTTGTATACAGCTAGCTATTAGTCTATTATATATATAGTGATGGGCAATCAGTTTAGTACTGTAATCCATAATCAGTTTGTAATCAGAAGTAGTGTAAACTGAAATGTTAACTATACATCATGTTTCGTTCTTTTATAATGAATGGATTTCAAGCAACTTTTATGCAGTTTTCATTTATTTTTCTATATAACCATCAATCATGTAATAAAAATCATAAGAATACATTAATTTCAATGCATATTGTTCTTAACATACATTTGATACCTAAGTTCAGTAATGAATCAATTATATTGATTATGGAATTTGTAATTGGTAAGTGGAATCGATAAAGTCTAACCGATTGATTTTGATTAACTGCAATTAACTGGTGACTAGCACTATTTTCAATCAGCAATTCCGTAGTGTTGATAAAGATAATATTCTTTTTCAATTAAACATCCTGCAAATTTTACCAATACTATCATTTTTTTACTGTATTTTTTCTACAAAGCAAAATAAAATTTCTTCTTGCATGTTTTTTAAAACTAAATTCAAGCAATATAAGTAAAACTTGTTGAAAACTGTAGAATAAAAATCAGTTGGGGATCAATAGTTATGGAACTAGATGATCAGTAATTTACATAACTGATCACAGACATCTAAAATGTTCACAAAGAGATAAAATGAATACATACTGTTTGTCCTTTATGGGGGCCGTACAAGATTTTCGGTGTCTTGCTTTGAGCATGAGCCACGAGGGACTGACGAAACTCCTGCATGACGCTGTGCTGAGCCCATTTACTTCTCAGGCACTTGGTAGATCTCTGAAAGCCAGAAGCAGTCACATCATATTATTGTGCCTGAGTAAATACATGTATTAATAAAATATTTGTTTGTTACTTTTAATCAAGGGAAAGAAAGGTATTTCATAAAATATTAGTGGTTTTGAGTGTCGAGGTCAGAGTTCAGGTGGCTATGTTTTAAATCCATTCTTTTGTATTAAGTACATTAACACAAATAGTCTGACGCCTTGTAAAGGAGCGAAACACAAAATTGGCTCCAAATACAAGTACTTTCCTATCAAATTAACTAATAGAATGGAAATTTAAAAGATGGCTTTTTGGCTGCCAAACATGTTGCTGATATGATTACCTTTCTGAAATCATTTTCATTTTTTAAACTTTGACTGTGGTTCCCAGTGGAAATTTCTAAAAAAAATATCAAGGAAACAATAAACAGCGAAATAATCAATAAGGAAACAGTCAAATTCAACCTTGCAATATTTCTCCTCCTTACCAGGTCAGTGAGTCGGAAGGATCCATACAATCCCCTGTCTGGGTCAAAGTCAGCCAGATTGATCACCACCTGGCCAAGCGACTCGTTCCCAGAACCCTTGTCCTCGTCAATAGCATGAAAAATCACCTGTCTGTACAATGTTTACAGAAATAATATATGTTATCCAATACAGAAATAAAGAAATGCATTACTGCAACCCAAATAAGATATACTTATAATATGTTTTCCTATATTCAAAATTGTAAATACTTTTTGAAATAATTTTAACATATTTCCAGCATTTGAAGCAACTTTTCATTTTCTATTAATTTAGTTTTTAATTAATCATGAGCCAGTAATATTAAAACTTATTTCACCATGCATCAAGGGAACATAAAGAGGGGAATTTGATATTTTCAGTATGAATTTGAAGTCAGTGCAAATGGGGTATTTTAGAATAAATTTTCATTACATACCGCATTCCAAACTCTTCTTTGGCCACCTCAAACTCGAAAGATTCCTCCCATTCCGGATCCAAAGTCTGCTTTTTTACCTATTAAAGATAATGCGGGATAGGTTAGGAAACAACATTGGTAAACTGAATCTAACAAACTGGCATTATGTAGTAGATCCTACAATAAACGTGATTACATCTGATTTATTGTCACACGAATTTACATTGAGAGTAAAGTGATTCTGCAAATCCTCAATCGTGAATTCATGATGTTAACTAACATATGTGATAATTTCATTGGACAAAGGTGATGAATTAAGTGTCTTTGCAAACTTTCCATTCAAACAATTCTGGGTTGAACTCTGGTAAATACAAGAAACTATTCAGGTTTTTAGCAAGCATATCGAAGTATTATATAGCAATACAGGTTCCTACCACAGGGTCATAATGCATTCATCTATATAGTTCCACAAAACTATTTTTAGCCATTTACTGCAGTTATTACTCCGACATATCAAAATGACTTGATCTTTGACCCCTAGCTGTGACCTTGACTTTGGTGCTACTGACCTGAGATTGTTACATGACACATAATCTTAAGTCAGGATGCATCTAACAATGAGAATTCACTTCAAAATGTTCAGCCATTCTGAAGTTACAATGTAACATGTATTAGTTTGCACATGTATTATTTTGTTCAGTAATTGACCATGACCTTGTTGTGACCTTGGCCTTAGGGGAATAGAATGGAGAGTGGTATGGAACCCATTGTTTGGTCATCAGAAGGATACATCTTTTTTTTAAACAGTCTTAGTATCAAATAGTTGAGAAGAACAAAAATAACTAAATCAAACAGAAGGATATTCAGTCAAATTACTTACATGTGTCTGGAAGAACTTCTTAGTTCCTGGAATGTTCATTTTGACGAAAACATCAGCTGGTTTGCCGTCAGACCTGGGAGGGAGATTGGAGGCTCTGTGGACAGTCACCCACAGACTGCTGGGTAGCTGGTAAGCTAGAGTGATATCTAGATCCCCGGCTACAGTGAAGTCAGTCTGGACAGCAGAGATAGGCAAACAATTTCATTTATTATATTATAGTTTTTTCTATATCATACATTACATCATGTTTCACAAAACTTATCACTACAGCTCTTATGGGAACCTTCTTGATATTAAACAAGAGTACCATGGGGCAGACACCTATATATGCTATGTTTAAGTATCCAATTTAAGACTTATTGTTTCATGCATGTACATTTACTAAAAGGAGCAATGAAAAGGATATGGTGGATGAACAGATTAATGAATGGACTGGTGTTTTATAAAAATATGTAGGAGATGGAAAATAACAGGAAAATTCCGACAAAATGGACAATAACTTTATCAAGTAAACTGGAAAATCCGACAGATTGACACTAACTTTATCGGGTAAACTGTATGTGGTTACCTGCACGCAAAGTTCTAAATGCAAAACGAACCAAGAGTATTACTGAATGAAGCATTCACCTGCCCATGATTAAATTAGGTATCAAACAGAATTTGTAGCCACATGTATGCAGTGCTGTCCAACTTCCATATCAAAACAATAAAGGGGCATAACTCCAGATACTTGGCATTAGATATGAAATTAATGCTTGCCACTATGCATTCCAAAGATTTATAAGGATAGAGGTTTGATGAACGTAGGCAAAATTGCTAAGAAAATCCAGACACCATTTGGTATCAAAACTGAACAAAGGGCTTTAACTGCTTTAGCTTTGTAACTAAGGGACACTGGACCTGCTTTAAATAGCTAACACTCTGTCTTCTTAAGGTCATAGGAGTGTATTGCTAAATGGAAATAGGAAGTACATCCCTTGTTGAAAATCCAATGTAGGGAGACAGTATCACAATATCCGCATATTCTAATGTTTAATATTAAACTGATGAATATTGTATGCTTATTATTGACAGAACAGTGTGTTCTTTCAATATTAAAGTATTGCAAAGCAATCCAGGCATTAATTCAGTTGTTTTTAAATCAATGAGTCACATATGTGTCCATTTTTCTATACTTCAGGAAACCGGCTATCTATTTCACTACTGTGAAGTTTTTCAAGAACGATAACTCTTGCATGCAATTACTATGTGTATATGGTTTTATAATAAAATGTCAATTTTTAATCGTTTATAGATGATTAATTTTACACAATTTCAGCATTTATGAAATTGATATACATTAATGCAATATTTATCTATGTTATTATCATTTTTATTGACATTATTTTGCAAAAAATCTTTTTTTTTTTCAAAATTCAAACCTTTTTACATAAATTTCCATTTAAAATCCTTAAAATTCTGACAACCTATTTTTTTTTGTGGCAGAAAATTTTCTTTACTACTTCAAAGCAATATAACTATAAAATTAGAATAAATTCTACTGAGAAATGGTGACACAATCCTATTACCTTAAGCAAATTTGGTGAACATGGATGAAATAGCAAGCACTTTACACCCCAGACAAAACAACATTGAGCCCTGCCAGACAGCCACCAGCCAGACAATATGTCATGTCAGTCCCAGCATTCATGTACACCATCAAGTATGGCACCAAAAGTACATTGTTATCTATTTACCAAACTGTACACTAGCTCAATAGCATCCTATTGTAGAGAAAGTATGCTTGATCCATAGACTTACATCAAAGGGAACTTTCTAACTGCTGCATACACCCGATAATTACCATATGGATATTGATCTTTTTCAATGATACAGGTCAAATGGATCATAATGACCTTATGACAGCGTACAAACATATAGTCCTGTCTGGTAGCCACTAGAAAGTTTTATTTTCTTATAGTGTCATGCAAATTAACTCAAATGTGTTTTGCTAATCCTACATATTTCATACTGGATTTTGTACTCATATAGTTTTCCTGGGCAGTCTTATCTTTGATATTTATCACATAGGCAAATGTTTCATTCAGGTCAAGAAAATATGTGGATATGGTTATATCTAAGTGATAAACAAAATCTGCCTTATTTATCAGAATACATAATGCACTAGGCTCCATGGGAGGGGCTATATTTATAAGTGGTATGTCTTACATTATCACAGACAAGACTCACCTCAGTAGAGAACATGTACCAGGCCGTGTGGGTGGGGCTGTCCTTAAAGTTGAAGGAGTTGAGATCTATGATGACCTGTCCTAGGTTGTCATCCTGACCAGTGATGTCATCGTCTAGGACATCAACAATCATCTTCAAACTCACTAACTCCAGTTCGTCTAGGGGGAAGGCAAAGATCTCATCAAACCTTGGCTCGTTGTCGCCCCTAACAACACCAGTCTTCTTTGGCTCCATACCTTCCTCGTCAGGCATCAGAATAATCTGAACACAAAGATAATAGACACATCATGATATTCTTTATTTACCAGTATATATACTTGGTTCTTCAATTTACTGTAAACCACTATGCCAATAACCACATACCTGGTATATGAAGCCAATTGATCACTCCTTTGACCTTTTTAAATAACTTATATTTTACATCAGTTGTTACCCTACCAGTAACTTATACGATACAGTATGTATACACACTCTATTTCTAGGCGAGTGACATATTAAATATACGATTTCGTCACATCGTTGAACAGGTAAACAATACAAATTGCTGACTCAGTCCTAACTTGACAAACGAACCAGTCGGTCTGATAAACGTTGCAACACGTTTTGATACGTACATTGTTTGTGTATAAAGTAGAACTTTGATATAACACATTTCCAAACTGATAAATCTTATTGAAAACTTACATCAGTATTAGATTCATCAACATATATATTTTTACCAATGCTCCTATCTAGATAAACAAAATATTTGCACTGTGTTGAAATTGCTTAATCATTTATAATAAAAATTATAAAAATTAAAATGGAGCAGTAAAATATTCACCATTTACAGACTAACATATCAATCCTTTTTATCATAAGAATTTTGTTCACAGTTGGTCAGATAACAATTAACTGACAGCTATAAAAAAAAACGAGAAATTAGTGAATATTTTTACATTATTAAACAAGATGCCCATAAGGTCCATATTGCTCATTTGTTTCTTTTGTAATCTTAACATTAGCCCGAAGAGAGCTATACTTTTCATTTGTACATTTAACTACAAATGATTTCCAACGACCAAAGACACTTCCGACCTGATCCATAGATACATCATATATATATATGGTTATAGGTAAGGATCTAAGTCTTTCCATGTAAGGACTCCAGGACTAAGTCACCAGGGGGAAGGCAGCACCCCTGTGCAGTCATGGTAGAATAAAAGTATTTGTAACATTTTACCCAGCAATAATATATATATAAATCATATAATGTACTGTGTTATCCAGTGAATATACCCATGTCATATTGTTTTGCCTATTAACCCATACAATATGACATATCAGCCCTGTGTTTGGTTGTAAGTTTTAATTGTTTCAATTGTGATGTCACGCCTAGGACAAGTACATGACTTCACAGACTTTATGCATTGGAGTCAAAATGGCAGCTTTTTACATTTCAAGGTTGCATGAAAATTGTTGTTTTACACGAATAAATGCCACAATTAAATCTTGATTATGTGATAAAAATGATCTTACACTCGTTTTCATTTCATATGAAATTTATGAAACTTGTCACAAATGTTTCATTTTAGTTTGCCAGAGGCTCGATTAATTGAAAACTTCTTCAGACTCGTTTTATAAATCTCATATGAAATGGAAACTCATGTAATATCCTATATAAATATGGTTATGGTATGGGGATCTTCATCGCTTTCACATTATGAACCAGGTAGTAAGTCCCTTTGAGTCGGGTTGAACCCTGGGGCCAATCTTGGTAAAATAACGTATTCTCTTAACTCATGACCACTATGTGTGTATCTGGTTATACATGTACGGTGGGAATATAAATTGTTTCTAAATAGTACTACAGTACACCCACAATTCCCCTAGTGGGGTCTCTCCGGCCCTAGTACGTAACAATCTGTGAAGTCCCATTGAGGGAGTTTTAAGCTGCCTTTTAATGGTTAAATTTCCTAATTTTTATGGCTGTCACAATAAAATGGAAAACCGGCATATTGCAATACACCAGTATATCATAATGTGTGCCAAACAGAAATGGAATATCGCTGTATCAAAACATTTTTCAAAGGCTTATTTTTATGCATTTTTTATAATGTATCAGCTATGCATTTTACTTTGCAAAATACTAGATATTCTAACAGATATCCTTATACCCATAAGTAGGCTATTGCTAGCGGTGAGAATCGGTTGTTCCATGATCAGTAGTTAGTTTAATGAAAACCTTAAAGATGATATACAATTCTGTTGATAACATTCAAACAACAATTTCCTTTTGAACTGGGCACTTTATTCCTATGAGAGTATTTCGGTGCATGTATTGCAATGGATTCCCTCTGTTGCAATATATCGTGATACACTCCAGGTGTATCATTGCATCCCTACAATTATTTTTTTACTGTAAATTATTATTTGGTTAAAATCAATCAAGCTGCTCTTCAGAAGTAGTCTTTTGAAGGTAAACATCCATCAATTCCCTGTATTTGGTCCTGTCCCTGAGACAGCCCCCAGGGGACAAAACTCTTCCTTTATACAACATTAGATGTTCTGGTTCCAAAGATGTATCATTGTGAATTTGGTTAAAATCCAATCAGAAGCTTATGAGGTTTACGTTTTATACTAAATACTTACTCTGACATAGGGATCAGGCATCTTGGACCGCAGATCTCTCATTCTCAGATCTCGACATTTGATGACCTTCACCAGAAGGAGACTGCGTTTGAAATCATATTTGAAGGAAAGTTGAATTTCTCCTCTGACGTCCTCCGTTACTTTCATCATAGTTGGATCCAAAGTCTTGTATAACCCTTTCAGTAACTGGGTGTTTTTCTGGAGAATGATAGTCATACAATAATGTAACATTCGTCAATTCTAAAACTTACTGATTGAAAAAAAATTACATTCAATATTAGACTTGAACATTGAATAAATTATCAGTAAATAGGTACCAAGGTACCTGAGAAATGCCGAGGAGTATGGTGTTCTGTATATTAAAAGTCACCAGCAATTACCCAGCAATGTAGTGTATAACAGTAGAACACTGTTTCTGTCACTTTGATAAATTAGTAACTGGCCTTCAATATCATACTACATTTTTTTTAAATTAACTTTATATGAAAATTCCGAAATAGGTTTGGTTAAAATAATGTAATGACATTTTAGTTGTTTTATGTTTATACACAAAAAAAAGGTAATTCAATCAATAAAGTCAATTAATTATTATTTACAAAATATTGTGAATCTAGGGTTTAGAGTATTGGGAAGGGGAGGTAAAGGGTGCAAAGTTCATTTCAAAAAAATCCTCTTTTTTATTTAAACAAGAGGCCCAATGGGCCTGCATCGCTCACCTGGTATAAAGCTCACACTTGTAACCTTAAAAGTGATCTAAAATAAAGCTACAGGCAAAATATCAGTATTTATTATTAAAATTCATTCAAAAGACCCTGTTATTTTTTTTTAAAACATTTCACCCCTGTGATTGAAAGTCGAACAAAGTCATTATGTTGAACAAATTTTATAGCCTTTCATCTCAGGATGCAACTTGCAAAGTATCAACATCCTGGGACCCATGGTTATTCAGAAGAGGTCATTTAAAGATTTTAAACAAATTTGACCCCTGTGACATTGAATATAACTCAAAGTCATTCACTTTAACAAACATAGTAGTCCTTGATCCCAGCATGCTACTGACTAAATATCAACATCCTGAGCCTTTTGGTTATTCAGAACAAGTTGTTTAAATATTTTGAACATATTTGCTCCTTGTGACCTTGCATATGATTCAAGGTCATACATTTAAACAAACTGGGTAGCCCTTGATCCTAGTATGCTACTGACTAAATATCATCACCCTGGGCATTTTGGTTATTCAGAAGAAGTTGTTAAAAGTTTTTAACATATTTTATGCATGTGACCTTGAATATGGGTGAAGGTCATTTATTCGAACAAACTTTGTAGCCCTTTATCTCAGCATGCTACTGGCCAAATATCATTACCCTGGGCATTTTGGTTATTGATAAGAAGTTGTTTAAAGTTTTTAACATATTTGACCACTGTGACCTTGAATATGGGTGAAGGTCATTCATTTGAACAAACTTTGTAGCCCTTCATCTCAGCATGCTACTGGCCAAATATCATATCCCTGGGCAGTTTGGTTATCGAGAAGAAGATGTTTAAAGTTTTTAACATATTTGACCCCTGTGACCTTGAAAATGGGTGAAGGTCATTAATTTTAACAAACTTTGTAGCCCTTCATCCCAGTTTGCTTTTGACCAAATATCGACACCCTAGGCCTTTCGGTTATTAAGAAGAAGTCGTGCCAGGTGAGCTAAAAAACTTAATTTATTTAGAAATGATCTTTTTATAATTTTCAATGTATTGTCCTTTATTGTTATCATTTTTTTTATCATTATCATAAACAAGAAGTAAGCCTAATGTAGTAATGTAGATATGTGGTTTACACCGAGTGCCTACCATGTTCTCGTCGTGTTTGTCCCAGCCTTTCACAGCAACAACTTGGTTGTGATCTGCCTTTGCTGTCATCAAACGTGATAACCCATAGATTTTCTGTGGATTTTGCCGAACTCGGCCCTCTTCCACATCTTTTGATGAGGAGTGTGACTGATTTCCACCCATCTTTTTTTGATAATGCAAACCTGTAACATAAAAAGGAACACAACATCAATGTACAATATATTCATCTAGCGGGTCAGGAGCCTGTTTGTTTGACTTACAAATATTCAATTCTTTTGGAAGTTTTGATTGGATCTGGTAATCCCATATGAAGCATTTTCTAAACAGATTAAAACCAGATCCTGATTTAATGATTCTCTGGTATATTACAGTAAGCATATATATATATATACATAACAGGTCAAAGATCCATAAAAATGTCAGTTTCTGTACATGACATACCTACAGGTATTGATTATTTAAATAATTGTGATTTTGAACATACATGAGTACTATTTAACATTAATATTCATCTGTCCCTGACTGCAGATGATTATACCGGTACCTGCTTACAGGCACAAATAATCTCAATGTTATGTTTTTTCCCCAATCAGATTATATACCCTTTTTACTACTGTACTTATCAAAGTTTAATTTCCGTTTGAGAAGATGATAAGCTATTACATGCTTTGTTTTTTACAAGTATGTTGGCCATATATAGGTTATAAGCTTTAGACTTTATAAGGGTCTTTATTTCAAGGATAGCAAAGTGTTAAAACTAAACTATGGAATAATGTCAGACAAGCTATTTTACTAATCTGGCCGTCAAAGTTGGTCAGCCTAGGTCATTTTGTCAGATGGAAGTGGGTCAAGGTCATGCATTTGAACAAAATCAACAGCCCTTAATCCGAAAATGCTGTTGGACAAATATCATCAAACAAATTGACGGAAGAACAAGGCAGCTACATATATATATACAGTCCCTCTCTACTTCATATTCAGTTATCAAAACCGAATATCAAATCATCATTTAAAATACCTAAAAATATATAACGAAAAATGTATACAATGGATCTGAATAACATTGTAAGGTGATTTTTGTAATTTCTTCAATCATCTTGCTTCCCCCTATAAAAAAAAAAATGAAAAAAAATGACTTACAATACAGTACATAGTACCTGCCCGAGCTGAGTATTAAATTGATCCTATGCCTTGAAATGGAGCAAGCCTGGTGTGAATCACACCAGGGTGATTTTAGCAATAATTGACTGCACGTGGGTCCGCATTAATACACTGGTTTGTAATTAATATAAATTATTTCTGTTGATCTCCTATATAACATGACGTTCAGCTCTGTCTAAAATGTCATTGAATTATAATAATAACAATTTGAGGTTCTTTACTGATACTGCTTTATCACAAACTAGGTCCTAAATCGTCTCAAGGTGGTTCACAAATTATTATCCATTGTTATTGGGCCTTAGAAACCAGCAAATATGTTTCTCAACTCACTGGGGAGCATACAGCCGGTGCTGCCATTTAGGCGCTCACAGCTAGCATTACTAAATAGTAACCGTTCCATCACTGCCCAACAATGTACAGTGAGTCACTTACAGCTGAGTAGACCGGAACAAGCCAAGTATCTTGTTCAAGGATACAAAACAGTGCTGCGACGTGACTCGAACCTGCAACCCTTCGGTCATGAGGCTGGCGTCCTACCATTAGACTAGTGTGCCTCCATTTATAAAGTTTACGTAGCGAGGGCAATCAAAATCTGAATTGACCGCCATAATGGAAACTTTGTCTCTCTTTCGATATAGGTCATACGTCTTGGATGAATGAGTCATTTTTCATTTTGTAGAGAGTGGTAAGCCTTTGATCTTTTCTTTTATCAGCTAAAGAGCGCCATTCTAGGGTGTTGAGCATGTCACAGATGCTCAAGGGTGTTTCTAAACTTGGAGATGTAACAGGCTCCTCCAAGTTGAATCATTTCAATTTTGTTTATGTCTGTTTTGGTTTGTGGGTTCAAGGTAGATAGATATGCCTGTTGACTGTTTTGGATCCTACTTTGGTGTTTCTTCTTAAACAAGCCATTCAGATTTATATGTCTCACCTATATGCCCCACTTTGACCATCATTGCATATATCAGAGACAATAGGTTATATGGCCCCATCCAGCATTTGATGCATGGGTTGAGATGACATCATGTACTACCCAAGATGCACGCACTATGGTCCAAGTTTAGTTGGTCTAGCACTTATACTTTCAGTGAAACTATCTTAAATGCAAAAACTTAATGTTGACAGTGCCAACTCGCCGGAAAATCAACATCTTAATATCACTCTACTTTGTCAAGTGGCAAGAAAAACCTAATGTTGAATTTGTTTTAGAACATATATCATTAATATGGGTTTCCCACTTTAAATTTGATTGTAGAGTAACACTCAAATACTTTGCTTTGGAGATGTGCTGAACTGTAGTTGTCTTCTGTGAAGCACATATGGATAATGGACATTGTTTTTGTTGATTAGAGACGAAGAGTACAGTACATTTATCAGAAAGGACATATATATCCCATTTAAGTTGGCATATAGTGACCAATCGTAGCTCTGACATTTGATTTAAACATTTATTTGTCATTCAACAAAAAGGATTAGGCACAAGTTATCTCAACTTAGAAATGCCCTCTCCAATACATTTCATTATATTGATTACATGACAACAACAACAAATATATTTATAATATATAGGAACAAAGAAGAAAGGAAGGGAAAAGTGAAGAAAAAGAAATTTAGAAGAATAAGAAAGAGAGATGATAGGATAATACTACTAACCTTAAAATCTGTTACTATTTTTAATGTAGGTTTGGACTATATATGGAAGATATTTTCATTGTCTTCATCTGACAAATTTGGAGAACAGTACATAATAACATTTAGAGAAATATTACAATAACGTGAGATATCATCAATCAAAATTTGTCTTTGTCTGATATACAGCATACAATCAAAAAAGTAATGGACTGCATTTTCACATTCATTTCCACATGCACACATTGGATCACCTACAATATTAACTCTATACAAATCATAATTTAAACTACTACATGAATGACGCAATCGTGTATGTAAAATATTTAGTTTTCGATTTCCTACATGAAAAAAAATAGGCAAAAAGTAACCTTGGTTACGCTGAATCGATGATTTAAAAATGTTAACGGATGGCTGCTCTCTGACAGTATTTGGTAAATAAATGTTCCATAGTCTTATAGAAGAAGGAATAAAGGATTGAAATGAACTAGACAGATGGAAATTGGGAACAGTGTAGTTTTCAGTATTTCTTAAGTTGTAGCTATGGCGTTCGCATACTTTAGGAGGAAAAATGTTAGTTAAATAAGAAGGTGTTTGTTTATTATGGAGTTTGTACATTAAGGAAAGTTTCTTAAGTTTTCTTCTTTCAGATAGAGGTTCAAGTTGGGATTCTTGATACAGTGATTGTTTACTAGAAAAAGAGGGTAGGCCAGTAATAATTCTTGCTGCTTCAAGCTGAACTTGTTCAAGTTTAGTTAGATCTGCCAGAGAACAACCATCCCAAACTTCACAGGCATATTCCAACACAGGCAACACAAATACTTTATATATTCAGCTCTGACAATACAATTATACAAAAATTGTCTAATCGCCAGGAGCTATGTTATCGCAGCTATAATGAAAGTACAGTACCCTATTTTTTCCAATAATGTTTAAAAAAAAATGGCCTTTGAACATAATGTTGACATATTTTTCTTATTTCATTTGAAAAAAAAGGACAAACTATATGTCATGGCATTTAGAATCTTCTTCTTCTTCCTTGTATTTGCCTCCTTCAACTGGTTGAAGATACTGAATATGCATAGCACTGTCATATTTGAAAATATAATAATCAAGTTTTCGCTTTCAATTTAGATTTATTTTTATTGTCAATATTTTGGGGGCTTAGATAAATTTGCAGTAAATTAGGCTATTAAGTTACTATTTCAGTAAAAAATATCTAAAATTTCAGCAGCTCTTTATGTTGCAATAATTGTTATGTTTTACATGTTCGGTTGGTCTTTTAAGACAGCAGACTAGATTTATCAACCCTGGCCTAGTAACTTACCAGCAGTCGAGCACCTGCTAGTCATTAGACGGCAGCCATTACAGTTTACCTTAGTGACGTCAGAGCGCCATCTTGAGGAAATGTTTTATATTCTATAAAATTTATAGATTGAGCAGGAAATGTATATTTCCCTTTTGTTTTATATCAATTTCAAAAATGTAGAAATTTTGTTGATTCACTGGATAAATAAACATATCTGATTATCTTGACGTTATTATTATCATGAAATCTCGAGAAATCTCGCAATGTGCCACGTGAGCCAGCCCTTTACACAACGGCGACACGACCATCCGGGTGTAGTTTTGCATCCGTGCTGTTGTAAGTCGCAGTTTTTCGTTGAACTGCGCTGAACCTGTTTTGCAGATACAGTCAGACGTATCTGCCATCATGGGAAGTGAGTGTTTTCATTTACTGTGTCCCGATTTTTTGTCAAAGAAGTATAATTACGATAGTTCAAAAATTCTAAAACTGGTCATACCGGTGTTGGCTACAATGCATACGTGGCTTCTTTTATAGAAGTGTTATTGTTGGACTGTCACGATTTTTCATGATGCTAAACTAAAGATTAACTTAATTATTAATATGCTGATTTTATCTTTCAGTCAAATTTTTGGAATTCGTTAAACCGTTTTGTGCGGTCCTTCCAGAGATCTCAAAGCCAGATCGAAAGGTAAATTTAAATTACTTGTTTAAAAAACAGATCTACAGTACTGCTTATGATGACAGATCCAAAAATGTCATAACGTTTAACGAAGAAGTTTATAATTTACACATTCAAAAATACTTCCAGAATTGTTTTATTATTAAATCTGATGTATAAAGAAGTTTGTCTTCCTGATAATAATGTTTAATTATTGAACCATATGTTAATTGATACATCTGAAATTAGAATTACTGATGCAATACATTTAATAACTGAACAGTAGTTTTCTTCTTCATCGTTGACCCTTCATCAATTAGTATCGGAAAGTTTTAATGCCATCAATAACTGTACACCGATATTGATATTAAAATGTAATGCATATCAATATTATTTTTCTATTTTACAGATCCAATTCAGGGAAAAAGTATTATGGACAGCCATCACTTTATTCATCTTTCTTGTATGTTGCCAGGTAAGAATGGTTTAAGTCCTCTGTACTTGTGTCTTCTCTACTTTCATATGGCATATTTTGGTTGTTCAGTGAATGTTTCTTGCTCGCACTTAAGAAATGTTGATAGTTCTTGAAAATTTAAAGCTTTGGATTATGGATGTAATTTGTACATATTTTAATTGCAGATTCCCCTGTTTGGAATAATGTCGTCCGATTCAGCCGATCCATTTTACTGGATGAGAGTCATTCTTGCTTCCAACAGAGGTAAACAGAGAGAAAAAACAGGCTCTTAAAGTTAAACAAGCCTGTAAAACACCATATTGATGTTAAACTCACAAATACATATATACTGAAAAAATCATAGTGCAATTTTTGGTAGTCATCGAATATACACAATAATAGTCAGTAAGGTTATGTCTTGATACAAAGAGGTATAATGAGGAGAATTCTGGGAATGTTAACAGTTACATTGTTCATATGTTTTGATGGCAGTGGCTGGCTAGTTCATTCATATGTTATAAAATTCCAAACATGATACTCTATACAAGTGTATTTTTTGTCCTTTAAAGGTACCTTGATGGAGCTTGGTATTTCACCCATCGTAACATCTGGATTGATCATGCAACTATTAGCTGGAGCAAAAATTATTGAAGTTGGTGATACTCCAAAAGACAGAGCACTCTTCAACGGAGCTCAGAAACGTAGGTTTTGAGAAATTTACACTTTAACTGCTTATCAAGTTTATTCCTCATTTAATTGCACATATTTTGAAGTCAGTTTTGTAAGGTTTTCAATCGAGGAATAATCCATGTCCCATGGAAAAGGAGGTTACTTAATAAATGTAATATGATGTTGAATGTTTATTACTTTAAGTAGCTGTAATATTGTCTATATTTCTGTTTTCAGTGTTTGGTATGGTGATCACAGTTGGACAAGCCATTGTTTATGTGATGACAGGAATGTATGGTGACCCTGCCGACATTGGCATGGGTGTCTGCATGCTCATCATTATTCAGGTAAATAGGGGTTTTCTTCCAAAATGTTTTCAAGCATCACTATTTGGAGTAGTTTATAACTTTATAAGAGTTCTAACCTGTAGACAAATTTTAAAACATTTTGCTAGCTTGACCAATATTTTTGCAATGATCATAAAAAAATGTAACAGCTTATTCATAACATCTAATAGCCTTGGGTGTCAGGCTAGTTAAAATCTGCACAGCTTCACTTAATCGCATGACAATTTTCTCTGTAACACAATTTTTGCCTTATGAATACTGGTTTTACTCTTCATTCTGATAAGTGTATTTTCATACTATCTTTTCTTCACAGCTGTTTGTGGCTGGATTAATCGTGCTTCTCCTCGATGAACTGCTCCAGAAAGGATATGGGTTAGGCTCCGGTATCTCACTGTTTATTGCCACAAACATCTGTGAAACCATTGTTTGGAAAGCATTCAGTCCTGCAACAGTCAACACCGGTAGAGGTAAGTTTCCAATAGTGTTAAATAAAAAAAAAATCAATATGCTAAATTGACATAGATGAAGTACATGTGTTTAGGCCAGACAAAAGACATGTTTCCTGTAACATGTTGGAAAAATTAGGGTAGGGAGAGGTAATAAATTTTATATGGTTTTTATAGAAGAGTGATCTTGACTTTAACAATACTTCTTTGAAAATTGCCTTAAAAAGTTGGGTAGGTAGGGTTACTGGAAACGATTGATATTTTTTGTTTGGCCTTAGCAAAGAGGAAGAGGAAGGATCAATCTGTCAATAAGATTAGTGAAGGGTATTTTATTATTTATATAATAAATGTCAAGCTCACAATAAATCTTTGATCTCTATCTGTTTTGCCTACAGGCACAGAGTTTGAAGGAGCTGTGATTGCCTTATGTCACCTACTGGCCACAAGAAGTGACAAGGTGCGTGCCCTCAGGGAAGCTGTCAACAGACAAAACCTGCCTAACTTGATGAACCTCATGGCTACAGTGTTTGTGTTTGGAGTTGTCATTTACTTCCAGGTAAATATATTGATGTGCGGAATGTTGTAAAGGTGTCATTTTACTTTGTTAAAGGTTTTTCGTTGATTTATGAAATTATAAACTTTAAGGGATGATTGTTACATATATTTGTAGAATTAATATTTGAAACTTTCTCAAACATATTTTTCCTTCATTTCTTATTTGAATGCTACTAACTAAAAGTAAACTTCTGATTTTTTCTTAGGGATTCCGAGTGGACTTGCCAATCAAGTCTGCCCGTTACCGTGGACAACAGAGCTCTTACCCCATCAAACTGTTCTACACTTCCAATATTCCCATTATTCTGCAGTCTGCTCTCGTATCAAATCTTTATGTCATCTCGCAGGTAAATTGTCATAGTCATCTTATTTCTTAAGGGATTGTATTTTGTTTGTACTTTGGATTTGGTTTGTTTGTACTTGCCGTCCTAAGAACAGCTACAGTCATTCAAGGATGAGCCATATATTCATACTTCCAATTGTAATTTACCTTTGAAGTTATATTCTATATCATGACAGGACTATTCTGTAAATGGTAAAAAAATCAAATCCCAGAATTAGTCATTATATGCTATAATTAAATTGAAATTTGACTTTACTAAAAGAAATGCTATCATTTCAAATTCAAACACTAAATAACTATGTTTTTCATATTTCAGATGTTGGCCACTAAATTTAGCGGAAATTTCTTTGTGAATTTATTGGGAGTGTGGGCTGTAAGTATATTCATGTTATAAACTTTGTGAATAACCAATACACAGATAAAATGAAAGCAATTTTATACTTGTACACAAAATCATATAACTGACATGTTTTCACCTTCCTGCAAACCTGTATTTATTTTACTTAAATAACTCATCGGGTAATGCAAATTTATATATCCTGTAAAGGTTTTGAATTTATTTATATTAAGTAATAACATATACAAAGATGTGTGTATAACTATAAATTATCTATGTTATAGGATGTTGGAGGTGGTGGCCCTGCCAGGTCCTACCCTGTTGGAGGTCTGTGTTATTACTTATCTCCGCCGGAGACATTTTCACATATAGCAGAGGATCCTATACATGCTGTGTTATACATCATCTTTATGTTAGGATCCTGTGCGTTTTTCTCCAAGACATGGATTGATGTATCAGGATCAAGTGCTAAAGATGTAAGTATTGTACATAGTGTATAAATTCATAATGTATACAGTCAAAATCTCCTCAAAAGACAAGCTCTTAAACTATGCTCACTCTTAATCATTTAACAGATTCTCTGTTAGTAGGTTATTTTTTAGCCTTCCCCATGTTGAATACAGACTTTACTCTTATCAGATAAAAGATGTGTTGGATAACCCTTAAGTACTTGACCAGTTTTGAAACCTTGTTTTTCCGTTGGTCATTTTATTAGTCATAATATTGCTTATATTCTCTAGTGTACAGTTTTAAAAGATCTATGGGAAAACCAGTATTGTCAGATAGATGTACAACTTGACTATATATTTTAAATGTAAATTTGGATTTTAGGTTGCCAAACAACTTAAAGATCAACAGATGGTCATGAGGGGTCACAGAGACAAGTCTATGATCCATGAGCTGAACCGATACATCCCAACAGCTGCTGCATTCGGAGGTCTGTGTATTGGAGCTCTGTCTGTCCTGGCTGATTTCCTTGGTAAGTTTTCAGAACCATAAAAGATATTCTAATTTATATATAAAATTATTTTTTATTTAAAAAGACTAATTTGATGTTATTGATCAATATACTTTTAATGAATTTCAAATGCCTTTATGTATAAAATTTAAGATGTATACTTCAATTATCCTGCCATCTGGAATTGAGCAATGCAAATCTCATGGTCATAAAGCCAATTCCCAGTTATTGTATCTGATATCCTCTCTGTTTTGTATTTCAGGAGCCATTGGGAGTGGTACCGGAATCCTGCTGGCTGTCACCATTATTTATCAGTACTTTGAAATTTTCGTAAAGGAGCAGAGTGAAATGGGAGGAATGAGCACATTGTTGTTCTAAATAACGAAATTGACATTTTAATAACAGATTGATAATAAGTCAATTACCTACATGCTGAACATGTAGAGTAAAGCTGCCATAAGAAGACTGTGGTGTCATACTTGCACAATCCTGACTCCATATTTGAGCATTTCATCTGGGGATGATCAACATCCAGTACTTAATATATGATCTGCAGTTAATTATACTGGTTTTAAAAACTTCATAAGATTTATGTGTTGTTTAAAAGACTTAAAGAAAAAGATGAAATGTTGCACAGTATGGCTACGTATGATAAATGAATTAATTAAAGGAATTATATGACAGACTGGCAGCTTTAATAAAATAAACCGTTTTGTTATAATCGCAGGCATTTAATAGAAAGTGATAAGAAATATGTACAATCACAAATATCTGCATCGTGTAGAAACCTCAAGAAAATAAGTATTTCTGTGACAGAAAATATGTATATTAGGTTCTTTTTTAAGAAACAAAGAAAATAAGTAGTCGTTTCATATTTATATTTTATTCATCAAGGACAACGTTGAACACTTTATTTCCTATCTGCTCTGGGTTTTGGTGACTTGAGTTGAGAAATTGAATGTAAGAAGAGAAAGTGACTGTGAAAATGCAGGATGTTTTACCTTTAGTCATTCAACATTAAATGTCCTCTTGATGTTGTGATATGTGTTTGTTTCTTTATTTCATGAAAAATGTGGTTTTTATTTCCACAATGAAGGAGATGTTAACATTTTAGATACATTTGGGCGTTAACATTTTAGATACATTTGGGCGTTAACATTTTTGCATTAAGTTCAGTTATGAACCAAGTGCTGCAGCTAGGGTCGCTCAACTTCACCTGCTGATGTTCCTTGAGAACAGCATTAATTTTTGTAAGGGGTTTCATGTATGCCCCAATTGGTCCAGGGTTTCTGAACACATATATTTCATGAAGACCAAAGCAAAGTTTGAAATTGAGGCTAATATGCAGATGATCTGTTTCTGTTCTGTGATTCATCAAAGGTTAATGATAAAATATTTTTATAAAATCGGACTTGATTTTGATGAAACTCTGTAAATATTTGCAAAATTTGTCGGTAAGGATGAAGCACTGAGAAGGTCTTTGGTTTTGATGAACCTATTGAGGGCAAAAAAGTGGGGGATACAAATATCCTTTTTTAGCTCGCTGGGTCCAAAGGACCAAGGTGAGCTTATGCCATACCGTGGCGTCCGTTCGTCAACTATTTCTTTAAACGACTTCTTCTTAACCACTGATTGGAATTTAACTAAATTTGACTGGAAGCATTCATATGTGGTGGGGATTCAAAATTGTACAAATGGGGGGGTTGACCCTCCAGGGGGCTGAGGGGTGGGGCAAAAAGGGGTCAATTTGGCAATATTGCTTTAAGCGAATTCTTCTCTGGAACTAAGAAGTGGATATTGACCATATTTGAATGGAAGCATCCCTAGGTGGTGGTGTTTCAAAATTGTACAAATGATGGGGCTGAGGGGCGGGGCAAAAAGGGGACAATTTGGCTATACTGCTTTCAGCGACTTCTTCTCTGGAATTCCGAGATCGATATCGACCATATTCGACTGGAAGCATCCCTAGGTGGTGGGGATTCAAAATTGTACAAATGGTGGGGCTGAGGGCGGGGACAATTTGGCTATATTGCTATAAACGACTTCTTCTGTAGAACCATGCCATGGATATTGATCATATTTGGTTGGAAGTATTCATGGGAGGCAGGGATTCAAAATTGAACAAATGGTGGGACTGACCCCCCGGGCTAAGGGGTGGGGCCAAAAAAAGTGTCTTTCTTGGAAATGGTTGAGATCCCCAGCATATAACCATGGTATACAATTGCTGAGTATAAAGAGAAGAATGCACATTTGCTTCCAGGATGGCTATAGGGTCTGGCCCCACCCTTGGCCATAACTTTAAAACTGTTTAGATCCCCATCCAAAAACTATATAGACAAATGCTGGGCATAAAAAGACGAATGCAGTCATGGTATCAGAATAGACCCAGGGGTCTGACCGATCCCCTAGGGACCTAGTTTGTTGGTCACAACTGGGAAACAGTTGAGAGCCCCACCCTATAACGGTATATACAATTGCTGAGTATAAAGAGATGATTGCACATATGCTTCCAGGATGGCCCTTGGGAATCAGCCCCACCCTTGGAGACTTAACCCCTGGGTCATAACTTCGAAATGGTTTAGATCCCCACCCCAAAACTATCTATACATTTGTTTGGCATAAAAAGATGAATGCAGTCATGGTATCAGAATAGATCCAGGGGTCTGACCGATCCCCTAGGGACCTAATTTGTTGGTCACAACTGGGAACCAGTTGAGAGCCCCACCCTATAACGGTATATACAATTGCTGAGTATAAAGAGATGATTGCACATATGCTTCCAGGATGGCCTTTGGGACTCAGCCCCACCCTTGGAGACTTAGCCCCTGGGTCATAACTTTGAAACGGTTGAGATCCCCAGCCCAAAACTATATATACAAATGCTGGGCAAAAAGAGACAAATGCAGTCACCATATTACACTTGATCCTGGGGTCTGGCCACACCCCTAGGGACCTGGTTTCTGAGTCAAAGCTTGAAAACAGTTGAGATCCCCACCCCATAACCATACATACAATTGCTGGGCATGAAAGATCTAATACAGATATGCTACAAGGTTTGGCCTTGGGGTCTGGCATATTCCCTTGATCTCATTTGGAGAATGTTTTGTCATGATTGCTTTGGTATCCAGGCCCTCTGGGCCTCTAGTTTTTGTATGGTTTGAAATATAGATATGGAACTAAATATCCGGTACATATACCAGACCACCCAATCAGAATTCTTTTTCTAAATAAAGAGGCTGCAGATAACTATCTTGGTCAATTTTTGGCTGTACTCTTTGTGTTTTAAATATAGTCATGAAAAGGTGACATTTTCATAGGACTGTTCACAGATTATACTCATTTCAAGCAATGCTGGTTATTTAATTCCAACACCTTTTGAAACAATCTGAAAACAGCTTAATAATTAATAATAATTTTTAAAATGTTCATTACCAATTTTTTTTTTAATATATATATAAGGACAAGTAATAATATATTATCAGGAGCCCAACAAATTGAGGTCACTTGTATCTTCCCCGCAAGTGAGACAGGTTAAATATATACTAGCGGAAAAAAGAAACTGCATGCCTAAAATGTGTTATAAAAATAAATGTGTATGACGTAGAACAACAAGGTTTTCAGGGACAATTTATTTTCTATTTATTAACAGTTGCATTCCATTTTCCACGTTATGGAATCAATAAGTTACGTTCAGGAGCGACGTAAACACAGCAGGGGCCAATACTGAGTTCACAAAGTTAATACCTTGTATGTACACCGTTTGCCTGAATGCAAGTCTGGCAACGTCGACGCATGGAGCCTATCAGACGGTTCAAGAATGCTTGTGGGATGGCATTCCAGATCTGTACCAACGCTGCAGCCAAATCAGCCAACGTCACCAGTTGATTAGGTAATGCCCGTAATCTGCGCTTCATTTCATCGTAGACGTGTTCAATGAGCGACAGATCGGAGGATACAGCAGGTCAGGGCAACACGTCAACGTTCTGCTGGGCCAGAAAGTCCATAGCGACACGAGCTGTGTGTGGCCTGGCGTTGTCCTGCTGTAGCCTAATGTGACGTTGCTGTCCTTGCACGAATGGAACGATGTGGGTTCGGAGGATCTCGTCATGGTAACGTAGCGCGTTCAAATTCCCGTTAACAACCACCAGAGGCGTTCTCCAGTTGGCTGTGATGCCGCCCCAAATCATAATGCTGCCTCCCCCTAAAGAACGTCGTTGTACCACACACGCGTCACGGAAACGTTCTCCAATGCGACGATACACTCTGGAACGTCTGTTACTACTATCCAGGTGGACTCACGACTCGTCCGTAAACAAAATGTGTGCCCAATCCCGTCGAGTAAATTGCAGATGCCTTCTGCACCAGTCCAGGCGTGCTACAAGATGATGTAACACAAGAACTTGGCGGATTGCAGGACGTCGCGGACGGATAGTTCGTTTTCGGTTCTGTACAGTTCTCGGGCTTATTGGTAGCAACCCCAGGGATTGTCCGTGAAGTCAAACTTGCCGTTAAGCGATTGTCAATTGGCAAGCTGAATATGGTTGTCCTGTTGACGTGATGTCACACGTGGACGTCACGCACAAGGTCGATCGCCGACGCCCCCAAACTGTTGATGTCGTCTCCACAAATCCCGGATTGTGTTTCAATGGACATGAAAACGTGTAGAGACGGCTTGGCCCATACCAATAATCCGGAGGCGGTCATTTTCATAGAGCCACGGCATAGCATTAATCACAAATTAAAACGTTATAATGCTGTTTTTACTGTTCACTGGTCTCAACAGAGTGACCCAACAGTTGAAAAATAAACTTTCATTGTCGAATTGGATGGCTGAACGAGAAAAACGTGCAAACTGGTCAACGCCTATAGAGAGCAAATTGCACAAGAACTGTCAGTGGTAATACATGTTCTGAAACAATTCTCAACATGCACAGTTTCTTTTTTCCGCTAGTATATTTACAATCTATAGCCTTAATACACCATTTGGATTATCTCCCTTTATCATTGTAATGTTGCAAAGTCGAACCATTTGGATTATCTCCCTTTATCATTGTAATGGTGCAAAGTGTAACCATTTGGATTATCTCCCTTTATCATTGTATTGTTCATTTAAGAGATTGATGATAAGTTAATGTTTCTAATATGCACAAAATAAGATAAAGAAGTTTTCAATAACTAGACCGATTAAAGAACTAAAACAAGATTACAACATGTTACCCTTAGTTATAACAAGATTACATTAGTTGCAACATGTTACCCTTAGTTACAACAACATTACATAAGTTGCAACATGTTACCCTTAGTTACAACAAGATTACATTAGTTACAACATGTTACCCTTAGTTACAACAAGATTACATTAGTTACAACATGATACCCTTAGTTACAACAAGATTACATTATTTACAACATGTTACCCTTAGTTACAACAAGATTACATTAGTTACAACATGTTACCCTTAGTTACAACAAGATTACATTAGTTACAACATGTTACCCTTAGTTACAACAGGATTACATTAGTTGCAACATGATACGCCTAGGTTACCTATGTGTATCCTGGTTGAAACGGTTCAGGTTGGGCAGAAATATTCCACGATAAACGAACGCACTTGGACCGAACTGTAGGCTAGCTAAAACAACTGCAATAGTTTCAGAGAATAAATAACAATATATCAAGAATATTATGTCAGGTTCTATTACACGTCCACTAAATTATATAACCGAGTTAAAATCTGCATCTGGTTTGACATTGTTTTATAAAGAAATAACGCAAACTAGCAATAGTCAGTATTTTAGTTTTGGTCCGGCACGTCTGGACCACTCAATCTAAATCACGTGCCAAATGTTCCCGAGGTCGGCCTCGGTTCAGATCTGCGCCTGTTGCTTTCTTTCCAGGTTCGACAACCGTTTCGAGTCAGGTACGCAAAGGCCCTTACTTACAACATGATACCCTTAATTATAACAAGAAACAGTTCACCGTGACCAGTGAATTCTGCAGATTAGATGAAACAACAAATTCTTCATTTAACCAAACTCTTTTAATATTTTTTTATTCATTCAAATTTACAAAAATATTTGTGTGCTAAAATGCAACTCACTATATAGAACGACAAATGGATGACATATAATTTAACCAATAATCACATGTGGCTTTGAACATGAAGAAAGACGAAGGGATGACATAAATTTCAACCAATGATCACATGTGACTTTGAAAACCACAGACCTGTTTACATTAATCATCGATACAAATCATATAGATAAATATCCAGCCTTATATTTTATTTAAGGCTGAATATTTACCTTTACTTAAATCAATGACCCAAAAGTCAAATTAAAAAATTCCAGATATTTTTTTTATATTGAAATGTGACATTGATATGATTGTTTACTAGCTAGATGCCATGGAATATTTTACAGGAATGCTCAAATACAGTAGTAGTGAGTGACATACTTAATGGAATACTGTATGGCACTTACTGCTTGCTATGTTTGAGGTACTTTGTATGTACATTATTATATTGACCAGAACAGTGCATTTCAAAGCTGAATAAATTAACCCTTTCACCACTGTAGACCATAATGGACTCATATTGATCAATGCATTGTAGAGTCTACTAAATTTACATAGGGGTGAAAGGGTTAAACTAAAATATTCCATTGCAAATTTAGAGAGAGAAAAAGTATGATAAATAGCATGTGTATGATTATATTCAAAGCAAATGATTTGGACAAATTTGGTAAACCTTATCTATTTGAACGTAAAGTTTTCCTTAAAACTTACTTGTAACATGTATAACGTCACGCTACCACAAATGGTACAATAATTTTGACAGTTTTTTAGTGATCTTTAAAAATTCAGATCTTGTATCTTGAAAGTTTCTTGATTCTTGACAAAGACTACCTATTGGTGGTTCATTTTCAGGAAAAGTTTTACATCTAAGTAATTTGTTTTTGAAAAAAGAACGCTAAACTTGCAGTGTTCTTTTATTTTTTTTGGCGGTAATTTGTACCAAAATTGGTACACCATATCACAGGCTATGGAATTTGGTTTTATTTCTACAAGTTAATATGCTGATTACAACAAAATATATTGCTTTTATAGATACCATACTGAACTATAATTGTATATATACACTTTAATATTATCCTGTTACAGTAGATTTCTCTTAATATCACTTCCCATTTGTCAGAGAAAAACATGATATTAATAGAAACATGACATAAACAGAATACATATTTTCTGATGTTTTTCAGCCGTCAAAACCAGAAGTGAACTTAGTCAAATGCCTAAGTGATGTGGCTCTAGGAAGAAGATTGATATTTTGTAACTAACCTTGTTCTTTACCCTAGTTGAAATATAGATATAAGTAAATGAGTATAGAAATATTTGTATTTCATTTCAGTATGCAGTTACATTTCATATAGTTAGTAGCAATATGACGATCAGAACGATTGTAATTATGATTGTTTACTGCAGTAGTGATGTAGGCATACAAGTGTTTGGCTGGTATTCTGCATCAAATTCAATTGTAAACATGAGACTTGGTAAATATTTACCTATATCTTGATATATATACTGTTCTTTCGCTAGTAACATCTTTTTATAGGTTAATTTCCTTAGATATTTGCTGCAAGTGTGTAATCGAAGATAGTACACATGTTATAATTAGTTGAAAGAATACATCACATGTTAACAAGTATGTGAGTCAACCTATTGTTTAACAGTCAGCCAGGTGTAACCTATTGTTTAACAGTCAGCCAGGTGTAAAAAATACCCTGTTAGGCCGAGGCATTGTTTACATAATGCGTCCAGGGTGTGACAGAAGGTCCCCAGGGCATTTATCATAATTCATTACCACCATTTACCTGTATTTTTTTGTGACAGTGGCCAAAATAAAGTGATATTAAGAGAAATCGACATAAAATCAGGTGATATCAAAATAATTGAATTGCATAGATTATATAGCAGGAGAAACGGTGCATCAAAAATACATGATAATAACTGAAAAGTAACATTAACAGACGTAGTATTAGGTGAAATGTACTGTATAAGGACCAAATTTGTCCTTGGTCAATATCAGGTCCATATACAACGTATCAACATCGACAAAAGACCATAATTGATAAATACTATAACTTAATTTTAATTAACATTGGTAAAATCTGTTATATTTTAAAAGAAATTATTATATCTAGGAAAATGCAGGAAAAAAGTCAACCCGTCCATTACAATGAAAGGGATTGATAAAAATAAAATGAAACAAAGTTCTGACACCTTTGCATTCAGTAATAAATTGTTTCTACAACACAACTACAATGCTAAACAACACAGAACCCAAATTGATACAACTATTGGTACAACCATGGCATTTTTCCTATATTTCTTACTTATTTTAACCTTTATAGAATGTCCTTTTGTTTCCTGTGTAAACTTGTTTTCCTGTTTATATATGTTTAGGTCCTATTTTGTGTATTTATTAGCAAATTCATTTGTACCACTCCCTGGACGTATCGACCAACCTTTGCAGAACAAGAACAATGGTGACAGTATCACAATGTTTCAGGGTACATAAGTCTGTTTATATGTTTTATGTTGTTTTGACAACTAAAACAACACTATATTTCAAAAAATAATAATGGTAACCAATATGACAGGTGTTCATTGAGAAGTATCAATCTGGGTTCTATGACTTTATCACAATTAAACATTTAAACGTAAATATTTTAAATAATTAAAAAATCTTGATTTCAAACTAAAGAAAAAAACTTCACAAGCAAACTTGATACACACATACATCATTAACATGCTGTTCTCACATAATCTTTCATTCTCATGCTAAATACTGGGTAAATATAATAGTGTAGGGAGACAGGGCACACTAAGGAACAATGGCAGTGAAACCTCAATAAATACAGTCACCATGGTTTCCATCTAAAGTGTTGAATCAAGGACAATATGTATAAAAAGACTAAATTGTCCGATAAAAACACTAGGACAGATGTAATCTGAGTTAGGAACATGTATAAAATATTGTAAAAATACAAAAGATCATCTAAAATCTATATTATTAATTATTGACAGTTTCTTTGGCTCATCATCAGTGTTACTGAGCATTAGGCATTGGTTTGAAGTACTCATCAACACAAAAATTGATCAGATACCTATTAAAGCTGTAAAATCTAACTGGTTACATATAAGCCATCCCCCCCCCCCCCAATATATTCAAGCTGTAAAGTCTAAATATCTTAAAAGTGTTAAGTCAAACTAGATAGCTACAGTGTAAAGTCTACCTCAGGCTGTAAAGTTTACCTCAATATCGAAGCCATGAAGTCTACCAAGATATTCAAGCTGTATAAAGTAGATATCTCAAAGCTGTAATAGCTTCCTAGATATCCAGGCTGTTACAGTTTGTAATTCTTCCTAGATATATACAAGCTAGATAATCTACATAATATATAAAAGCTGTAAAGTTTTTCTAGATATCTTAGTTGTTATTTAAAAGTTTATCTATAGATATCCCACCTGCAATTTCTTCCTAGATATCATTATGTATAGCTGCTACGTCTACAAATATTTCTTAGCTGTAATTTTAAAGTCTAACTATAGAAATCCAAGCTGTAATTTTATTAAAGCTGTAAATGTTAAGTCTTTCAAGATATCTAAGATATAGCGTCTACCTTAATGTCTAAGCTGCAATGTCTTCAGCTATAATCTTAATCTTAGCTGTAATTTTAAAGTCTACCTATATATATTTAAGCTGTCATGGCTACAAATATATCTTTCATATCTTTCTGTAATTCTTAATTATACCTTAATATCTATGATGCAAAGTCCAGATATCCAAGCTGTAAATCTGCAGTCTTTACTGTCACTGTACCCAAATCGGAACAGTACCCAAAACGGGACACCTATGGGAAAACGGCCCAAGAAACTGTCAATTCATAGAAGTTCTTTTATGTATACAGTTTTCATTTCATAATACTTTTACGACAATTTAACTATATGTAAGCTTTATTGGCTGCTGATTATCGTTACATGGACAATTTAAAGGTAAGGTTATTGACCAAAACTTTCCCTGATTTACGTGCCATGCGATGCTATTTATTTGGATATCATTTTCAAAAATCTATTTTATCAAAACTTATGCTAGTTTGGAGAAGAAATTTAATCAAAACCATGTTTGATTCTTAAATATTTGAAATATGTCTACTCTTCTTTTCTGCTGATATTGATCGTTTATCCCCAAATATTAGCCAAAAATATACCAAAATGACCTTTTCAGGGCACAGTTACGCCAGATCAAGGGCTTAAGTAACCCTGATGGTATTTCACATTTTATTTATAGAACCACGCACCCCAAATTCAACTTGTAATAGAAATGAAAAGTGGATAGTATCTATTTATGAAAAATGAAAAACATTTTTGAACCGATAGTATATGATATAAAGAACATTGAGATTTATCTAAACAGTGTCCCGATTTGGGCACAGTGACGTCATAGATATCTAAGCTGTCAAAAGTTTAGTAGATATCTCAGCTTTATGTCTACCTAAATCAAAGCCGTAATGTCTACATAGCTATCTAAGCTGTAAGGTCTTAGTATGTAGATATCTATTCCTGGCTTCAGCAACTGATTAGGACATATATTTAGTAGTCCACCACAGGCACGTGTTGAAGATTAAAAGACTCAATTGATAGGTTTGTCGTGAGGCTTATAATTAATCCTATCAAATTATATACCATAGACAGAGTGAATTTACCATACATTATTTATGCGGCACCATGGCTAAGGATTAAGAAAGATGATATTTTCAGATTCAGTAATGCTTATCTAACAACCTAAAATTCAATGCTATACAAATTGGTACTTAATCAACAATGCTTATCTAAGAATTATGAACCTCAAATAAAACCATGCAAAAGTCTTTTTCACCTAAGTGCAAAAATAACACCCTGTAAAATAATAAACACAGTATGCAGTAGCCGTTATGACTAATTCTTGGCCTAAGATTTACCTTTCAACAGTATCAAACGTATCGGAACATGTGATCAGACAGACGTCAATTTTATCTATAGATGTACATCATTAATACCGCTGGTTACTGTGGAGTATTATACATTGCATATATATTTTGATAGTTATGACTTATACACCTTAAAGCATGCCTTTCTCACATTGTCAGTTGGAGACTAATTCCATCTGAGATGTGTGATGCAAGGTCTTGGGAACAATATGACAATACAATCTTCTAATACAAAGACTAGCTTCATGAATGCAAAAATTAAAAAATGTAATCTGTGAACTTGTAGAATTTTTTTCTCCAATGACATTATATATTTTTTTTAAATGATTTAATGACAGTGAAATGTAATGGTGTGTGTGACAGTGAAACAAAAATGCCATAGAAATGACGTAACATCAGCTTTGCTTGGTTTTAAGTTCGCCCCTAAATTTTAAAATGGCTTTGGTCTTTGAGCCTGGTCTATCCAGGTTGATGGCGTGACCACAGCGGGAAATGATGTCCACAGATTGGCAGTTTGGCAGCTTTTCTTGCAGTACCTTCACTCCTGATACATCTATCACCTACAAGTACAAAGACAAATTATTATTTTCCATTTGACAAAGTAACACCTTTCCTATGTTCCACGTAACCAGACCTATCAAAAACAGCATATACTGTTGAACTGACATCAAGACTGTGATGTCATAAACAAATGGCCTGATGAGACAATACATTCAGTCAGTTCAGTAACATGGGCACATAATGAATAGTTACTTTTTTGTAATTATCTCCCCTTTCTGGCTTTCATACACTTATAATATATAATTTATCATATAAAAAATACTTAAAAAACAGAGAGAAAAAGTGTTAACTCAAACAGTGGAAACAGAGTGGTTTTCAGTGATTGGCCTGCTCCCTGATAGCCCTTTCTGTAAATATTTATCATTTGAATAACATTCATGGTTTCCTTTTTTACCTGTCTCACCGATTCAAATTACTGTGTAAGAAATGTTAAAGTGTTATCTCACGAATATATTGAAAACTCCATATGCCACAGATTATTAATATTATCTTGGAAAGTCTATCATTAAATTGAAATATAATTGGTATACACTTAAAATATAAACGTGTTAACAGTAAGACTAGCTTAAAAAGTAGAACAATAGGCCTGATGGATCTGTTAATTAGTCTACCAGTGCAACACTTGTTCCAATATATAAGAAATGTGCAAAACATGCAGACCTTGTGTGACCTCATGCAGCTATTGGCCTCATTCTTTATTTGTACATTAGCACAATTTGTGTTGTTGTTTACATTGTTTTAAGATTCCTATAAATAATGCGCAAGGTACAGATTTATCTGTTTAATAAGAGAAGAAATATATTTTGCTTAATTCATGCCAGTGTGATTTGAAATATGTTAGATACGTAGAAATGTCACTTGAAACAACTTATTCACAAAGATTTAAAGTCATGAACTTCCCAACAGCAGTTACATATCTTGTTTCTTCAAATGTTTGACTGGGCCATCTACTTAAATCCCTTGCACATTTTACACAAAAACAAATAAATAAATCACACAAAACAGAAGGGACTTTACTGTTCAAGTGCTTAAAAAGACAAGTACAGAGTTATCACCTTGTCAACATTGTCTAAAGCTTGAGCTTCAGGGGAGAATGAATCTGCTGATATCCCTATCCATGATTGTATGAGGAGATTAATGTGGGGCCTAGCAGACTGGGGTTTTCCTTAGATATGTCTTCTGCCTTCAGGATATTGGAGCAACCAAAATTGATCTGCTGCCCAAATGGCAAAACTCGGGACCTCTGTATTTTGTCTTCACTATACTAATTTTACTGCTCTTTAGTTTTTGCAGTATCTCCCTTTGAATTTATAGTTAGTCAGGTGTCAAATAAATGTGACCGGTAATTTAATGTCTTGTCTATTACAAAGTCCAGGTTATGACATTACAGTGATAAAGCACTTTAAAGTAGCCCTGAATTGGCCCTGTTATCTGTTCACTGTTGACAATGTCTCCATATATGACATTATATAAAAAACAAGAGTACCGCGGGGCGGAACAATATACACCCGTCCAATGCCATATAGTGGTATAAACTTTCTTACATTGAAATAAGATCTGCATCATTCTAAGAGTGGTTAGCTGACATGCTATAAAAATGTAGGAAAAAAACTCCGGATAAAAAAAATCAAATACTGAAATGAACAAAGGGCAATAACTTTTGCAAAAATCGTCGAAACAAAATTCTTTTCAAGGAAACACAACAACATATTATGATTATGAAGCCTACTAAGTTTTAAAGAAATCTGTCAAAAATGTAGGAGGAGATCTCCGGACAAAAAACAAATAATGAAATGAACAAAGGGCAATAACTTTTGTAAAAATTGTCGAATCAAAATTCTTTTAAGGGAGACACAACTTCACATCATGATTATAATGTATACAAAGTTTCAAAGAGATCCGTTGAAAAATGCAGGAGGAGATTGCCGGACAAAAATCAAATACTTAAATGAACAAAGGGCAATAACTTTTGCAAAAATTGTTGAATCAAAATTCTTTTATGGGAGACACAACTTCATATCATGATTATAATGTATACCAAGTTTCAAAGAGATCTGTTGAAAAATGTAGGAGGAGATTGCCAGACAAACAAACCATACCATAATACTCCCGTCAAATTTGACGGGCGTATAATAGTAAGCTGTTGCAAGGACAGAAAACCCTTGTATGTAAATTAAACCAAAACCAAGAGTTCCATGAATTACCTGGTCTTCCTCGCCCCATATAAGCTGGCTTGGTACAGTGATCTTGTGGGCTGTGTTCTCTAATATTGCTGCATATTCCCAGCTGGCAAGGGACTTGAACACTACAAAACAACCATGCTCACTTTAAGAAACCACACATCAACTGATGAAAAATTGCAAACTATTGAATATTAAACACATCCCAATTCTAACTGCTAGACAATGAAGATTTCTAATATTAAAATGATTTCATAGATATAAAGCTTCTATAAATAGGTTAACAACATTTTAACTCATTCACCCCTGAAATTTATCAATGAACTATTCCAACCTTTGAATTGGAAGGGTTCAAATGTGTCTTTAGGGGTGAATGATTTAATTGACCAAACCAAGATATCACCATGCATGTCTATCAAAGCTGGAAAATTCAGTGACCCTCGAGTTTGAATCACCATTGTGATTTCACATATCAATCAAACATTGTAACGTCCCAATAGGCTCACAGGAAAGTAACATCCCTCATTCTAACTGGCATTGAACTGCTTAGAGCTTATAAAAAAGTTTTTACCATTTTGAATGTAAAGGTTTGCGAGAAATACAATCTATCCCTGGGATTGAGGAATAAGTACAGTGATTAAAACTGACAGCCTAGGGTAAAATGTCTAAGAAAACCCTTGGCAAACTTCCAGTTTTTTTTGATACAATATTCCATCCCTTTGATTTGAATCACCTTGTCTATAACTACCCCATGGGGGAAAAATCTATTATTAATAGTAACACTCATTATACTATTGGAATCTGTAATAGCACTAGCAGTATGTTCTGATAAAAAAAAACCCATCTTTTAAGTACAAGTGTAACAAGCTTTTCAAGAAATGATATCTATTACTTTAGTAACTAGATAACTTACGACGAAAGAAAAAAATGTTGTTTGGTTTTCTCATTTCAACAGCACCCTGTAGAATCTGTTAAAACAAAATAAATTTAAAAGTATAGATCAAGACAATTAATTAATATTTATTTATATTGTTACCTATGGCTCTGATGGTCAAAACTATTTTGTAATGCATAGTACACAATTATTAGCTTGTTTACAATAATTGCGTAAATCTATGACTATATATATAGATCATAACGACGAGAATTTATCAGAGTGTTATCAATATATGTATTATTAAGTACATATCAAGCATGCCTCAAAATAATTGTCATCAATTGTCTATTTTACAAATCATGAATGCTCTTTTTCTGGTTTTCAAGCAGAAAACTCTTTTGGAAGGAGTACATATTACATGTAGCGTAAAGATAAGATATATCTAAAACAAAACTCACTGTACTAAACTAACAACATGACAACAGAATGTTCTATGATTGCCAACAATCCCTATCCAGGAGGGAGACTCCCAATTTTGGGTCCTCAAATTAAGCTTTTTCAACCAGTGAATTTGCTAAACTCTTCCTAATTTCAAAGGTCTGATGATTTTATCTGAAAGAACAGCTGAAAAGATGCCATTTAAAAGTGTAACTTTTTCTCTAGGGTGTACACACCCTTATTTTATTTATGTTTTTAATTCTGAGAACATGTGATCTCCTCTATGGAAATTTCAAAACGTTGGCAAGAAGGATGTTCAATCATAACATCCTTCAAACAAATCTCACTGTGCCAAATATGACAAGAAAATATTCAATCATAAATTACTGACATATAGAATATATGTTGACCTACCTTGTTTGTAAAAAAGAAATTTGGCTTGTAAAACTGAGCAAAGCCTAGCATATACTTCATCTCCTCAGGGTTTTTTGGTATAAATGGACATTCTCTGAGGATGGTTTCATCATCCTGTGTCTCCATAATCTCCCGAATCTTTATGGAAACTTCACTGTCTATGGGTGTCTTCACTATAGGAGAAAGAGAATGTTAAGCTGTGAAGAGTTATGTACAGACAATGCCATTATTTCAGATCTTAATTGAAGTTACCATAAATGCAAAGCAGAAAAAGATTCAAATTTTAAACAACTTTTTGTTTTGCTTATTAAGTTTTTAAGGTAAAATATATCAAACAAGAGGCCCAAGGGCCTTAGCGGTCACCTGAGTTATATCATAGGTACTGGTAGCTTTATTTTATTGTTTAGATGTTATGTGGAAATCAGCATGTAAACTAAGTGAAATACAATACTTGTCATGTCATCAAAGGATAAGAATTTGAAAATGTTGGTAAATGTTCCCTTTGGGGCCCCGCCCTAGCCCCTGGGGAGGGGACAGGAACCCCAATTTTACAAAGTAATACTCTCATTCACCAAAGATGATTCTGACTAAGTTTGAGTAATTTTCTGCTGAAAATGGATAAAATATACCCAAAAGTGTTATTTCCCTATATAAACTATAGTAAAATTTACCCCCTCCCAAAGGGAGAACGAATAGCTCGGGGGTCCTGAAATTTACAATTTAAGTAAAGCCCCTGATGATCTTTCTTTCCATGCAGGGAAAATGACTAGTACCTGAGTCTGGAGAAGAAGATTTTTGAAATATTGGTAAATTTTCCCTTTGGGGCCCCACCCTGGCCCCAGGGGTTGGGGTAGGAATTCCAATTTTATAATTTTGTATCCTCATCTACCAAGGAAGATTCTGACCAAGTTTGAAAAAAATCCATCCACTGGTTATTGAGAAGTTGAAAATGTCAAAAGTTTACGGACGACGGACGAGTACGGAAGGAAAGCGATTAGAATAGGTCACTTGAGCAAAGCTCAGGTGACCCAAAAAAACAACATCATGTCTAAACTATGTTTCTTTCTCTAAGGAAACCTTTAAAGTCTTGTATGGATTATGGTAATACATGTATATTCATAATGTAAAACTTACTTGCTGGACACATCATAGAAAGCCTTTCTATTTGGTCTGGGTATTTGGCAGTGTACAGGCCAGCTATAGACCCACCCATAGACATTCCCACCATGTGGAATGGTGTCTTGTCCAATCCAACAGCCTCCACAAACTGCAAACAAGAACATGAATCAATGTCATATTTTATATTCTTTATCATTACACTATCCTACTTAAGGATGTACACCTCTGAGAAGTCAAAAATTTCCTGTATTAAACTTTTTTCTTATAATGATTTTTGGAAAAAGGAGATAATGGCATAGTAGAAAATGCGAAAACAATTATATGTCCGTGTGTTCGTTTTTGTGCTATGATCGGTCAAAGATACCAATTTAACACAATAGGTGATTTTAGCTGAATTTTCGGGTTTTGACCATTTGCAGAACAAATTCATACAATTTCTTCCAAGTGTGTTATCAGATAAGTATGAATGTTTGTAGAATTGATAAAAATATTATTTTCTTTTAAATTATGGAAGTAAAATTTCTTAATTTTATTCATTTTACTCAGAAATGCGATTTTAGTCACCCCTACCCCTGTTTTTTAATGAAAAAATGCACATTTGTTCACCATTTTTTGCAGATTAAACGCTTGATATAAAAAATTCCTGTATTAAACATTTTTTAGTATTCAATGAATAAAAAGTAAATGTGTTTCTCTTTCTAAAACAGCCACAAAAATGGGGGGTCGGTGTGCTTCTTTTTTGTCCCATTATTATTTGTGTTATTTTTCACCTTTTTCGGGGTCAAAAATCAAAAGTGATTCAGTTACCCTAATATGTAAAAAAAATACCAATAATATATAACTTTCCACTTTTTTGCATATTATTTTAATCATATTGAACATTATAAAGTTGTACAGCAAAATTGAACCTGCTACATTTAAAAATGGTGACACAATGACAATTTAAGTGATCAATCTAGTGTAAAAAAAGGTGAAATTTTGCCCTTTGTGAAGCGCAAGAAATTCACATAAATACACTTTTTCAAAATGGCCGCCAAATTGGTCATTTTTTTCAAATTCTTGTAAAAAATGTTCTACACACAACAGACATCTAGTTTTTTGACATGTTTTTCAGATGTGTGTGTGCTATTAAATCTATCATAATTTATTAAATATTACAAAAACCCGTTACACCAGATCAAAACGAGACTTGAACGTGACTGAAACCTCAGAAGAGTACATCCTTAATCTACACAAACTCAATCATGTGGCTAAAGAAAAGTTCAAACAACACAACCATTAATTTTTATTGACCACGACTGTGCAGCTATCAAACAACCAAATGTAAATATCAACTTTGCCATCTGTGTCCTGCTTCTTCAAAAAAAAATCTTTATCCAATATCAGATTTTGATATACTGGCTAAGCAACAACCTCACTTCGTGCCTCAATAAATCTGAATACTTAGAGAAGGGTTAATTACTTATATATATATACAGCTTAAACCCTTTTAAGTTATACTTTTCATTTTTTTATCAATAAATGATAAAAAAAAATATGTGTTTTATGACATCCATCTTTTAAATGGCAATTAAAGGATTAGATTTCTTTGAACCATTGATGATAAGACCATTTTTAACTCATGAAAAAAAAAAGAAAATCTTTTCAGATTCCTAAAACAAAACAAACTACCAAGCTGTTTTGCAGGATACAAATACCATCTGAAACCAAATCAACGTTACCTAAATATATTGTTACCGGTATGCTTAGATATGAGTTCAGGGCCCAACTATGACATTTTCTTGGATAATTACATAATATTTAAAAGCATTTAAAAGTATATTACTGTTCTATATGAGCCTACCTCGCGAACCCTAGACACCTGTCCATTGAATGAAATGTCTTCACCTTCTGAGGGAATGTCACTGTCCCCGTGTCCTGGCAAGTCCAGTGCAATCACATGGTAGTCTGTAAGATTCTGGTGGTAAACAGATTTATAATACAGTTGTAGTTACAAACTCATTATAATGTCAGAAAATGTATGTTATAAAACAAATACAGCATTTCTCACCTACCTACGACCATTAAACAAACTCCTTAAAAAAAATAAGGTTTACGTATTGAAAATGATCACAGAGCAATTCTTTTGATAAAAGAGGACATGAGACTAAATTTCAGTATGTTACACTTTGCTGTCCAAACAAGTTTTCACATACGACATTTGGTACTGTAGGTGACAGAGTATATATGATATACCCCAGACAAATGTACATATGGTAAATAAAGGGTCATAACTCTCCATAAAGTGGAGTGCTTGTTCCATTTTCTGAATTGGACACATCACCATCCAAATGATATCATACACTATGGTCAGTTGTGCAATTTCTTTTGACAATTTGTTCTGTTATAACATTGTCAAGTAATCAACTTTATTGATTTACAAACAAGTCAGGATGAAAAGTATATTTTTTGAGGTGATAACGCCATTTCATTATAAAGGCAAGTACTTCAGTTAATTTTGGATTGTATGATTTTACCAAAATCTGAGTGCTTGTAAAGCGAAGTAGCATCCATTATGGTACTGCACAGCAGATGACATATATAGCAGTTGGCTGTCCATAATGATCCAGGATATCGACCAATCAAATGACACACAGTTTTAATCAACCAATTCATTCACACGTGTACATCTAACTAAAACCTTTGTTATTTAAAGAATGGCCAGGTAGTTGATAAACAAGGGCGAGTTTATACATTTTACTAAATTAAATAGACTACAATATATATTATTAATATTTTCATGTAACAGGAAAGAGAGTAGTGTGCTTCCACCGGGGATTGAACCTGTAATCCCTAGTCGGACACTCTACCACTGAGCTGAAGGGAAATTCCCTCTAGCGCAAAGCTAGAAGGTGACCATAATCCTATGAACAATAAAAATCTGCCATATTCAGTACACATGGAGGACACATTATTATAACATTTACACGTCTGATCGAGACAGACAGGAAACATACCTTCACCAGTGGCACCCACATAAACTTGTCAGCTGAGAATCCATGCAGAAGGAGAATAGAAGACTTGTCAGGTCGTTTCCTGCCTCTCTCTCCGTAACATAATGTGAGGTCTCCTAATTTTACATACTGAATCTTCATCCCACTAAACAACACTGCAAATCTGAAAGAGAAAGATGAACTTATTCTAGTTGCCAGAAAATTTAAATCATTAGAAATTTGCTTTTTCAAAATCATTGTTATTTTTAAGAAGCAAAGAAAACCTTTTTCAAAATCTGTTCAATTTTGATATTTTAAACAATCACTCATTGTGTTGTGACAGTTTATATTAAGTACATACTTCATGTACATCTGAACCACAAGAACCGGTCGGTTGAGGTAGACGAGGAGGGTTGCCGCTGTCACTGTAGCTGTTGTGACAAGTACAGGGTAAATCATCAAAGACATTGCAAATTCTGGGACTAATGCAGCCATGACTTAGTGGAGTGGTGTCTGTCAAACTGTAACAAAATAGTATCAATTAATGACATAAAGTGTTTACATGTACAAATGAAATGGTATAAATTGTATAGGCAAATAAACATTTTGATCAGTACAAAACTAATTTGATAATTATCATTATAGTACATTCTTTATCAATTATTAGCTCTATGTATATCATGCATTTCTGAACCTCTGAAATTCTTTAATAATCAGCAGTACATTATTTCTTAACCTCAGATTTTCAACCTCCAATATACTATACCAACTTCAGAGTATATGTATTAGAGAATCAGAGTAAAACTGTAACATTCATTAACTCCTTCAGTATGTGTCATACTCATGTCTACACCTGTACTGAATTTACCTGGCAATTAGAGGTCACTGTGTACGTCAAACAGCACATGCATGTTATCAAACTAATAATACAACAAGATAATGTATAATCTATTTATTGTTTATGATCGGTTGTGATGAAGATAAGATAAACATTTCCATTGTTATAGTGCAACATACTTATAAAAACAACAATCCTTAGCATTGTGATACAGTCATAATTCTCCTTGAGATAACAAATTTAATTTGCAAAACTACTTTATGGACCTTTACAGTACATGTATATGAAGTTAGAAGAACTAAACTGGGTTGATTACCACCAACCAGTCCAGCTGGTACAAGATCAATTAGTTAGAGAACCCATCTAGAGTTTGGAGGGTCCTGGGTTAAAATCCAGGTCTGGCCATGCATTTTTTCCTCTCCTATTACATTTGGTGCCCAACTAAATATACTCACAAGTCTTGTGTGTTTTCAAGTTCAAAGACTTTGTTAAATGGAGAGAGGAATGTAGCAAAACTGGACTGGGTTGATCAATACCAGATAGCTGTGTAATAGGATGAGGAATAGCGATTAAGATAGTGCTGTCGCTGGGGCTCCAACCCGCGGCCATTGGCTCTCCAGCCTGATGGTCTATTGCTGAGCTAAATGGAAATTCCCTACAGCTGACGCTTGTAAGGCAACCTAATTAACCCACATCTTTTACACTATTCTACCCTTTTTTCAAACACCAAAACCAGGCTCTTCGACTTCCCACCAAGGGTTCTCCTACCTTGAACGGGGAGGGCCACTGGCACCAATTTGTAATAGAACGAGGAAAAGTGATAAAGATAGTGCCATCGCTGGGGCTCGAACCCGCAATCCTTGGCTCTCCAGCCCGATGCTCTCCCGCTGAGTTAAAGGGAAACTCTCTACAGCCGACACTTGTAAGGCAACCTAATTTAAATCCACAGCTGAATTAGTTAGAGCACATGTTCAGAGATTGGGAGATTCTGGGTTCAAATCCCAGTCTGGAGGTGCATTTTTTTCTATCCCGTTACATAAAAGTCATTTCAATATATATATATATATACACTAGACATTTACAATACTAGTTGTTTATCTTCATAATTTATCAACGAATGGCCTGGCATTTACAGGATGTCTGCAGTTATGGTTTATAGAGTCTAGCGTCTGATCAACAGCATAGTCATTTAAGGACATGCCTCCATGTGTGTTGTGCATATGTGTTAGCTGGAGAGAGAATGCTGGTGTATTTGCCTCCTTGTGATTATGTGGATCTGATGACAACTATGAAGTGCTACCTCACTGAATTATAGTATTCTTTCCAGGCACATTACCCAGTATACAATATCTATACATTTAGGTAAACATCTGCATTAAAGAGACTTATTTATAATATGAACTAAATAAGCAAGTTTAATATTTTTATTTTCTAATTTGCAAGGGTTTTGAAATTTTTGATAGTAGATAGTTAACCAACTATTCCATGAAGAAGCAGCTACCTTTCCAAAACTTACAAATTCTTACATATCAGTAACTTGGCAAGGTCAGATTGTCTTATTGGGTAATAGTTTTGGATTTAACTGGAGAACCTGTACTTGATGTCTGTAAGACAATTTTTCCAGACTTTCTGATATAGTGTTCCAGCTGTCCTGTGGTTTGGGAATCATGTAGTCTTACATTTCATTGATGCAACAATGATAGCGAAACCAAATCTTGAAGATCAGTTTTGAATGAAATATTTTCATTTAATACGATTTAATAGAAAATTAGTGGATGCAGGCAATTTGCTGCCTCTATATCCACATCGATAATCATGTAGTTTAAAATTCATTATGGTAAACATAAAATAAGTCATAGATGTGTCGCAGATTTTAATTCTACACATACAGTAATAACGGTCACCTTCTACTTTGCGCTAGAGGGAATTTCTCTTTAGTTCAGTGGTAGAGTGTCTGACTAAAAAGTATGGGATCGCAGCCAAGTTCGATCCCCGGTGGAAGCACAATACTCTCTTTCCTGTAACAAATGGTGTCCGTGGCACTCCCTTCGGTGACAGGGAGTTAGAACCTGGGTTGTGGTGTTTAAGGGTGAACACATTTTAAAAATGGGGGGAATAGTGTGGCAGATTTTAATTCTACACATTATTACAGTTGCCTTCTAGCTTTGTGCTAGAGGGAATTTCCCTTTAGCACAGTGGTTGAGCGTCCAACTAGGAAGTAGTGCATCCCTGCAGGAAGCACTACTCTCTTTCCTGTTACAAATGATGTAACCACACCAATATTTTGTCTGATTGTGCAAATGGATTCAGAGATACAAATTATGTTTCTGCCTCGATAGCATGTATATCTTGCCTACCTTTAGGATCAAGAACAAAAAGAATCTATTAAAGCATTATAAAAAACAGTCAGTGCGACTCGTACACTATATTTTTTCTACTAGCCTTCGATTTGCTGCACTATTGATTTGTGATATTACAGCGATCCAGACCTTGGGTCGGATACATTTCCCAGCACAAGTGAAAATAAGGATATCCCAGTCTAGATCTGGTAGACAAGGAATGGCTATACAGTTCAATAGGCAGGAACACATGCTTGTTATTGTCTGCTAATTAAGATATCAGGTAATGCTGAATATTTATTATACTTGTGAAATTTTCTAAGTAAAAATATAAGACAAAGGTCGAAGAGACTCGTTCCGGCGGGTGGTAAAGAGAAATATAGGCGAATGGTCCCGTTGCTTCCCTGGTCGAATATTTTAATATATTTATCATTGACGATTTTGTTCGAGTTCAAATACTCAAACAGAGTGTCTAATTATACACAAAAGAAAATAACATTATTATATCGACATACATAAGTAAGAATCGCTAACAAGACGGATGCATCCATGGGTAACAAGAGACAGAGACAGAGAAATGGCACTGTTATTTAGGCGAGGTGAAATTAGGCCGCGTTTTCTTTTCGCTTCCCCTGGTGTTTTATGATATTTCTCAATTAAAGTAATTCGGTATTGTAGTACACTTACAATTTCAATCAATATTTAGCACATGTAGCTCATCTGCGGATTTCAAATCGAGGATTAAAGTGGCAAAAACAGCATTTCGTCTTCTCCTCCCTTACTGTTACGTGAAATTACAGCACAATTTCCGTTAACCGGATATAAGATAAGGGCGACTAAATTTTGCCAAATTCTGGTGACGTGTCGGAATTTGTTACATGTAAATTGACGCTGCTGTATTTTCAGTAAAAAAAAGCAGGATTTTTAACCCTTGAAATGACAGAATATGATAACCAAATATTGCAATATATAATATCACTTATCATCAGCGTAATCAAAATTCATAAATGACTAGAATGATTGTTTTCCGGAAAATATGACCACCGTACTCTTGCAAATATTACTCGTCTTCTCTATACTTCCGCTTATGAAGAGTAAGGTTTGTTGCATGATAGAATGGTAGTTTACTTGATTACACGACTTTTATCGCTCATTATTCAACTTTTTTATTGAATGAAATGTACTATGTTTAGCGAAATTATTTTTGAAAAGGGTTGAAATGCAATACTTATACGTGTTCTTCAAGTACAAAGGTTCCAGCCTCCATTCCCGGGTCCGAGTTGTACGCCCGAAATCCCGCTCGCCCTCTGCCCAAGCATAGGTGGTGGGCACGTGCCCACCACCTATGGCCCAAGTAATACACATGATACATTTTTTTGTGTGTTAAACGTTATGTTTGAAGAAAGACATCAGTAACGTCTTTGAGGTATGTCTATTCTTCCAATCCCAACATCACCTCCGTCCTCTCTCGCTGGATCATATTGTCATTTCACAAAAGTCTGAAATTTTATCAAAAATAAAATAATAACAGTAATAAACAAAAATGTAATATGCTCTGTTTTAATCATGTTCTAGTTTTTTGGTGTCACCCTGGTAAGATACTAGTTGCTTCCTACCGACTCGGCTAGGGAGATCATCTCTTTAGTTCATTCGGTAGAGCGTAAGCCAGATGTCCCGGGTTCGACTCCTAGCGGAGGATAAATAATGACCTCTGTTACATTGGCATCCACCTAGGGACCCGCTAGATATGACAAAAATACTCAGCGATACTTGCAAAGGAACAGCATTGACCACCTGGAAAACTCTGTGACAAGTTCTTTCCTGGAGGTACTCCCATAACATGAGAGGCCGCTGGTCGGCCGTTTTTCAATCATATATATGATTTTGCCGACTGTTACGCGGCGCCTGTCAAAAGTTTTTCCCCGTGTAAAACCTCTAACATTGTTAGAGTATCCCGGAGGGGGAGTATGTCGCCCTGTTAAAAAACTAGATGCTTCCTACCAACTCAGCTAGGGAGAATTTCTCTTTAGCTCTTGCGGTAGAGTGTAAGACTAGTAAGCCAGAGGTCCCGGGTTCGACTCCTAGCGGATGCATTGAAAAAATAATGAACTCTGTTACATTGGTTTTTCTGTTATTTTGTAGTTTTGTCAGAATTACTATTAGTTACTATATCTATATTCCCAGACTTGACTTATAGTTATTGCCATTCAGTTCAGTTAGAGTTAAAAAATCCTGATCCTTAATGCCCACTCAGTTTAAACACCAGTGTGGCCATGCCATTGTGAGAGTATATACAAAAGAATAGGATATAATTACAACAACTTCAAAAAAGCTTCACAGGGCTCTGCAGGTTTATTTCAAAAGGACACTGATAAATGAATAATAATAAGACACCCAGTGATTCCACAGACTTTATTGGAAAATTGTGAGAGGACTACAGCATTTAGTTTTGGTTGTGTTCAGTTGATGGACTTATTTTTTTTCTTATACATTATTCTTAATTTCTTTTAAGTTTTCTTCGTATACTTTCTAAAAAACTAGTCCCCGGGGAGGAGATAACTAATCATTTACGAATGTACTGTGTATATATACATTTCAGGTATCAGTCATCCTTATGATTAAAGATATAAAACTAGGAAGATGTTGACTCTCATTTATACGTGGTTACTGAAAGATATTTCTTCCAACATATATTTCAATTGACAGGTGTATATGCATGCTTTGAACTTGTTGAAGTTGTTATTATGGAGAAGATATGATTTTAAAGTCTGCTTTGACTGTTTTAAAGGAATAATAAAGTGTACTTGAAGAGGACAGCCTAAAGACTCTACACCCGTCGAGATGTCTCTCTATGATGGGTTAGATATTGACAGTGACAAGGGTGGAAGTGAAACAAAGACAGATGTTTGTATGTAAAAGTATTACAAAATTGATAAGCTGAATAAATCATATAAATACTATAACTTGGCAGTCAACGTGTAATTTATTTGTGTTGATGCAATTCCATTGAAACAAAATCGATTCTTATTATGATGATATTGAATGATTTGTGAAATTCAATTCCTTCTTCAAGAGCTATCTCGATCGTTTGTATTTTTTCAAATGAACAAAATAAAGTCATGTCATACACATAATTGAAGTTTAAGTTTTAATGATGGTATAAATCTCAATGTACATAACATAGACAATCAGACTGACCATACATTTTATATATATTTTCAATATTTCAGCTGCATGGTCTTCAAGCTATAAGCTGTTGATGTCACAGCTGCAAGCGAAAAAAGTCTCACTTGTACAAACCAAGGTACAGATTGTATAGACAGTAAAGGCAGAGAGTCCTACTTCATGGTCTGTCCTACTGTATGTCAGGCACTGACTATTTTTATGTTAAATCTACATCATTTCTTCTATATTCAGTGTAATGATATAGCAGGCCTTTTTGGTTCCTCAATCATTGGTAAAATCATTCCTAAAACTGTTGCTGGAAAGAATTATATCATATTAACATAACGAATAACTTATGATATCATAGATAGATTTCTTTTGCATAATATAAATCTTGGCAAAAATGAAAGTAAATGGGCAAGTAAGTTCAAGTAAAATAGAAAAAATAACTGCTGAACAAGTTTGAACTGTATTTTATTGGAGACACAACACATGGCACTGTGACTGTCCACCATAATAAGGGAGGGGGGGGGGGGGGGGGGGGATATGTGTGTTTAAGATATCCTGACCTACCCTAGATTTTACTGCTGACACTAGATATTTTATCACCCACTTGTATCAAAGATTAATATATAAGCCAGGTAACTTCACAGCCACTCATGAAAATTTACTTTCTTCCTGTTCTGGGATTCTGACTTCATCCAAATTAATAGCCATAATTGTAATGTGTGGAAATGCATTAAAAAGTTTGAAATAAAGCATAATATTAATTCACAAAAATAAAAATTTGTATTAAAATAAAAATTATTTGCCTACACCAACCTACCGGTATCCTATTTTTTCCGGCATGTTACCTGAAACATTCATGCATGTATTTATTTGTTGGGCCTAAAATAGAAAATAAATTGAATTATTGGTATCCAGAAGTATAATATTAACGTAAATATTTTGAATGCTTACACATGTACAGTGGATAAATATAAGCTCCGTGCTTTATAACCAATTGTAACAAGACAGGGGATCAAGTCCCTTGGCCGAGATATTTTCATGTAAAAGGAAATTAATATAGGTATATTTCTTTTGTATAATACAAATCTATGAGTTAACAAAAGTACAGAGGCAAGCAACTTCAGTTAAAAGAATATTGAACAAGTTTGGACTTTATTTCAGTAAAAATTACAACACGTAGCACTGTGATTGTCCACTTTAAACGAGAAAATAGGCTCCTTTGTTGTTTTTCTTACTTCATCATAACAGTTATTTTTATTCATAAAAGTGAAAACACCTTGAAATTTTTTCAAGAAAAAAAGTTCTTCTGTGATTGAAGAATCAAAACTTTTATGATATACAATACATGTAGTTGTGAATGGTAACTTTGATTAAAATAATCTGTTTCACAATATCTTTGAAATTGTTAATTAGAATGTAATTTATTCTCTTACAGCGCCAGCGTCAGAACACCACTTTGGCACCAGTCGTGGACCTAAAAAGAACTCCTGATTCCTCAGAACTACACTTCAATCTACAGACAGGCAAGGTAGCTATATTATATAAAGTCAATTTATTTTAGTATTGATTATACTGTATAAAGGTACATAAAGTCTGTGTTTAATTAAAATTGTGGTGGTCAGGTGGCACATGTACCGTGGATAGTGAACTTGCCTTTCATCAAGTCGGTCAGGGTTCAATTTTCCTATCAGATGTGAAAGGTATGGGGTCACCTGCCCGATCATGTTGGTTTTCTCCGGGTACTCCAGTTTCCTCCCACATTAAGACCCCCAGTACGCTAATATCCAACAAGAGGAATCAGTATAAGTTGCTTCTGAATTGTTGTAAAATAGATAAAGTTTATAGTGAAGTTCTTAAAAGTGGTTTAGGTATTGGAAACACATGTTGAAAAGTTTTCTGATTTTGTTATTACAAATGTTTGCAGAAAACAATTAACACAAAATATGCTCTCAGATTTAGTCAGATTTGTGAAAGTAGTGAGATTAGGGGAAAACAACTTGTGTATGGTTAAATGTTTCTGAGCTTAAGACAGAAATTATTGTGACTTTTGGCTTGTTTGCAAGCTCGAGAGCAGAGGAGGAGGTGGAGGACCAATCAACAGTGGCGGGAGCAATGGAGGTGGGGGCGGGGGACCTTCTATAGCAATAGGAGGATCTCCTTTCCTACCCACAGACCCTGTTCCCTCACTCACGGGGGTCAGTGATGAGTACAATCCTCTTCGACCAAATGATTATGAAGAATTTATGAAGAAAAGGAAAGATCAGAGACAAAAGGAGCGGGAAGAAGAAAGGAGAAAGGATGGTGGTGACGAGCAGGAAAGAATTCCTCAAGAGAGCCCGAGAGGGTCGGGCAGGTAGGGAAAAAGAGCTAGTGGCCATGGGTCATGAACATTGGTCTCCACAAATGATTATCATGACCCATTTCCACAAAATATGTTGTGTCGGAAACAGAGGCCTCTCACTATTGTCCATTGTTAGAACTCCACAAGTCTTCAAACTTCATGTTTTGATACATCAGGAGGTTATTCACAAATAATCAAAAATGTCACTCTGACCTATATTTGCTACTTCACTGCCTTTGGTCAGACTTTGCATTTATAATTTAGCTTCATATTTATCAAAGCATGGACATACATGTTTTACTAGTTCTGAACAACGTTTCAGAGCCAATTTGTGTTCAACATTTTGAGTTGCACACAATTCTATATTTTTCACTTAAACTTACTTTTCATAGATATAGAATCTGTTATTTCATTATGAAATAGTGTCGGTGACATATAGGTTTGTGTGCTATGTTTTCAGAAAGAGGCGTGATCGTGATCGGGACAGCACTCCTGACCACTTTGGTCTCAATGAGATGGAAAGAGCCAGACGGAGGAAAGAAGAGGAGGAAGAAGCGGAGTACGAACAGAAACCACGTGGCAAAAGTAATACAGTAGTACTTTGTCTGCATAGCTCATTCATTCACTGGCTGTGTTAATTTATTACATGAACCAGAAAGTGTCATAATATGATGTAATAATAACTTTAAGACTCCTCAGACTTTTATAGCCCAGCTACACAAGTATATAATTAACCTTTGTTTTATAGCCCAGATACACAAGTTTATAATTATACCCTCGCAACAAAAGTTCGCGGGGAAATATAACTCGGCCCATTTGTACATACGTATTATAAACTCATCGCTCTAGCGTCCTAATTTCTCAACGGACCTTCATAAACTCATCGCTCTAGCGTCCTAATTTCTCAACAGAATTTCATTAAACTCATACATAATGAAACTCATACATATATATACACGATGTGTGAATGTGAGGGGATTTGTATCACTTGTGATGCCTTGTTGACCTTTTGTTTTATGGCCCAGATACACATCTATAGAACTAAACTTTGCTTGTTTTCAGGTCAGGGGGCGGCCATTGCTCCTCCATCTTCCCTAATTAATGAAGACATGATCATCAAGGAAGGTAAGTACCCACAATTCTGGGCAGATGCTCATTATACTCAAGGGACGATTAAGGAGGTGTTTCTATGGATCTAGGTTGATACTTACTAAAATACTACCTGGTGGATTTAGACAGGGGGTCGGTCATTCATAGTAAGGTTTAATTATTTTTTTGCTGATATCTCTGTCATTTTCACACAAGTTAGCCCTATTAGGCATACCGCAGGATCATAGCTAGGCATTGTTCTTTACAAATTGCTAAATCCACCACTGATATTACAGTTTCATAACAAAAAACTTCATGTCAAACAATTATATTCACATTATCACTTATAATTAGAATATAGCAGATACATTGACATGTATCATTAGTAAGTATTTAAGTCAGAGATATTCAGGAGATATTTGAATTTCATAAAAATTCTTCATGAAAATCAATCAATATAAAGTAAAAACTGAACTGAAATTTAAATACTATTTGATACATATAATGTGTGATTTGTTCCTATTTGAGGACTAATTTCAGTATATATGTTAGAGGTTTGGTTATAACAGATGTTATTTTTTTTACAGAATCCATGACGCCAGACAGATCCAGGTCACCTCCTATGGGTTACACTATAGGATTAGGGTAGGCTAAAAAATAGAAATATGAAAACCTGAATAACATAAATGTACTTTATATCTAAGCATATTCAAAAACAGCATATAGAAAATCAATTAGTTGTATCATAATCAAATGCATTATTTAAAAAAATTAAAAAGGATTACCAACATGTATGTTTACAGTATTGAAATCAATATTTTCCTTTTCAGAGAATAATTGCTATTTTTTCAATCACAAAATTGAGCAGATAACAAAAACCAATACTCAATTGTTTTGATAGCAAAATTAAATGAAATCTAAAATGTTATGTATCTATTCTCAAAATGTTTAAGTAATGTTTTATGCTGTGTTTTCGTTAGGGTACTTTTGTTGATTTCCCCATTTGTTTTATGATAAAAAAATATGTAATTTAATCAACATTTATTGTATAACTTCACTGTATTAAAATTGTTAAATGAGATATCAGTGTCCTCATATGATTGTCATTTACTTGTAAAACACACAATTGGATAGATCTGAAATATTGTACACGTATGTGTATTGAGGTGAGTTATAACAGATAACCTTCTTTCTGCAGTGGTTCTGTTGCTTCAAAGATCATGGCTAAATATGGATACAAAGAGGGACAGGGACTGGGCAAGTCAGAGCAAGGCATGAGTACAGCCCTCCAGGTGGAGAAAACCAGCAAGCGTGGTGGCAAGATCATACACGAAAAGGATATTCCAAAAGGTTGATGAGCAAAAACATAATTATAAATACTTTTGATTCTGCATAGTTTTATTTGTGTGTAAAACGTTAATGTATAGTGACTAATTTGTATAAGTTTTGTTTAATCTGGTTTTCTCTGTAAAAGGCAACCATTTTATTTGTTCTCATATATTTTCATTTTAAAGTTGATGTAATGTAGAGTAATGTAAAATTTTGACCATCATATAATGATATATTCGTTTTGTTTATTTGTTTCAAATGTCATATTTTATTTCCTCAGAATTGCCCAGAGAACCAACACCCAATACTAACTTGCTGAAAAATCCATCCAAAGTAATATTACTGCGGGTATGTGGCTTTATTATTCAAATATAAATTATCACTGTATTATTGCTGTAAACAGGAGATACTATGTTACCATGGTCGCTTTCGCATATCCTGGTTGGAACAGTTCAGGTGGTACAGAAATATTCCACGATAAACAAAAGCACTTGGACCGAACCGTAGACAGAGTTAAAAATGCACAGTTTTGGAGTTTTGTGACAAATAAATAATAAGATATCAAGAAAAAACGGTTCTTTCTTCACACATCATCGAAAGTATACATGTATAACATACCCTAAAAATGCATAATTATGTGAATCAACCTTGTTTTATGAAGAAATAATACAAACTAGCAATAGTCAGATTTTTAGTTTCATTCAGGCATGTCTGAACCCCTCGTTAAGCTTATACTGAATATTCCTGATGAGGTCAGCCTCAGTTCAGAGTCTGTCATTTTCTTTTTAGGTTCAGCTAGTTGAAACAGTTGATCAGGATACGCGAAAGGGGCCGATGGTTTTACTTTTAAAGGGGATAAAAAAAATGTCGTTGTCAAGGAAAGTTACTGTTACAGGAGAAAATTTTGTTACCACAGTGTTAATTCTAAAGGGGTGTTATTTCCTTTTTTCGTTATCATAAAAAAATACTGTTACAGGAGATACTTGTTTATCATGTTCTTTTAAAGGAGGATAATTTCAATTTTTCATTATCATGTAAAACCACTGTTACAGGAGATATGTTGTTACAACAGTGCTACTGAGTATGACACTATTTTATGAGAGGATTGTTTGATACAACTATGTTACTTTTAGACTGATGATTTGTATCCTATGAATGTTACTGTATTCGAAGGGGCGCTTTGCTACTGTCTTAGAATTTGTTTCATCCTCAAATTCTGTCCTTTTCTTTTCACAGAACATGGTTGCTCCAGGTGATGTTGATGAAGAATTGGAGCAGGAGACATCTGAAGAATGTACCAAATATGGTCGTGTCATAAAATGTGTCATATTTGAGGTAAATATAACACCTGCAATTGCTCCGTATCATAAGAGAAGCTAGGATTCTGTATAGTGATATCATGATTTACCTAATTTTGAACAATCTTCTGAATTTTTTCACAAATCTTCCCCATGATCTTTAGTTAGGAAAACTACGGAAAATTTGATGAGAATTGGTTTATATTTTTTTGCTAAAGGGAAATTTTAAAGCGGTTGCTGTAATTTGGAGATTTTATATATCAGTATATATACTGGTTTGGTGGTAGGGCAACCAGATAAGTGATGGCAAGATTATTACACTAACGAGGCTGAATATTAAGACACCTGGATTAGTAGTGGCTTTATCAACAAGGCTGGAGTGAGTGTAGGGAAAAGATTTTAAACTGATGCTTATCACACGTATGCATAGTACAAAATAGTGGGATTTTAAAAAAAAAAAAAAATTCGGAATATTAACTTCGATTATCTATTTTTAATCATAATGGGATTTACAATTGGGAAACATATTCCAAAGATTATTCATTTATGATAAATCATCAGAATAACAAGAAAATCTTTACCCTTAGATTCCTGAATGTGAGGAGGAGGAGGCAGTGCGGATATTTCTGGAGTTTGAAAGAGTAGACTCAGCAATTAAAGGTTTGTTTGGACAACTTATCATTTTATGCTCGGTTTCAAAATTAAATTTATCAAAGTTACTTAGAGCTGTTCCAGAAATAAGCATATGGAAAGGGTGGGAGGCACTTTTTAGCTCACTTGGCCCTTAAGCTTATGCCATGGCGTGACGGCCGGCCGGCATCAACTTTTCACTTTAAACAACTTCTTCTAAATAACCAAAATGCCCAGGATGATGATATTTGGCAAATATTATGCTGGAATTTTGTTCAAATGAATGACCTTCGCCCAATTTCAAGGTCACAGGGGGGTCAAATAAGTTTAAAAACAGCTTCATCTAAATAACCAAGAGGCATAGGGTGTTGATATTTTGGCCAGTAGCATGCTTGGATAAAGGGCTACCAAGTTTGTTCAAATGAATGACCTTCGCACATATTCAAGGTCACAGGGGACAAATATGTTAAAATCTTTGAACAATTTGAATACGGTAACAAAAATCTTCAGGGTGATGATATTTGGTCAGAAGGATGTTGGGATGAAGGGCTACCAAGTTTGGTCAAATGAATGACCTTCACCCATATTCAAGTTCACAGGGGTCAATTGTCTTAAAAACCTTTAAATAACTTCTTCTGAATTACTGAAAGCTCCAGGGTGATGATATTTAGCCAGCAGCATGTGGAGATGAAGGGCTACCCAGTTTGTTAGAATGAATGACCTTTGCCCATATTCAAGGTCACAGAGGTCAATTGTCCTTAAAACCTTTAAACGACTTCTTCTGTTTAACCAGAAAGTCCAGGGTGATGATATTTGGCCAGAAGGATATTAGGATAAAGGGCTACCAAGTTTGTTAAAATGAATGACGTTTGCCCATATTCAATGTCACAGGGGTCAATTGTCTTAAAACCCTTAAAACAACTTACTCTGAATAAACAAAAGGACCAGGATGGTGATGTTTGGCCAGTAGCATGCAGAGATTAAGGGCTACAAAGTTTGTTCAAATGAATGACCTTTGTCCATATTCAAGGTCACAGAGGTCAAAAATGTTGAAATCCTTAATTGACTTCTGATAAATAACTAAAGCATCCAGGGTGATTACTTTTTCATGTGAATGACCTTGACACACTTTCAAGGTCACATCTGGTCCATAGTGCATACATCTAAAAGTCTACTTCTCAATAAACAAAAGGTATAGGGTGGTGATATTTGGCAAATTGCATTCTGGGATGAAGGGCTATAAAGTTTGTTCAACTTAATGTCCATGTTTGACTTTCAATGTCACCGGGGTCAAATGTGTTTAAATCATTTAATATGTTCTCCTGAATGACTTAAAGTCAAGACACTGATATTTTGCCTGTAGCTTTATTTTAGTCCACCTTTAAGGTTACATCTGTGAGGTTAATACCAGGTGAGCGATGCAGACCAATTGGGCCTCTTGTTCAGAAATGCCACCACCCATGATATATTAAAAGTGATTTAATATCAGGAATGGTTCGCAGATCTGGTTTTAACTCCATCACCCATATTATGATAAGATCAAATAAAAATATATGAATAGGGTAGGAATGCAGGAAAAACATTTTATTTTTTATTTTATCTCCTGATTACCACTGTGAATGTTAGAAATAGGTTATTATTTTAATCAAGTATGAATGACACCAAACTAAATGTATCTTTTTTATGCATGTAAAATAAATACATGAATAAAAATTCCTAGTCTTTGTGTTGAGCAGCTGGCTCACAGGCTCACGTTACAAATGTCTGAAATACACATATGCTATACTGATACGGGTCACAACACACATATGTTTATGTGTGTTGTGACCCGTATCAGTATAGCATATGTGTATTTCAGACATTTTTAACGTGACCCTGTGGCTCGCTCGAACAACACATGTACAATGCAGTAAATTACTATTTGATCCACCTAAATGTTTATGGAATAGCCAACATCATTTCAAAGTTATTGGTGTTTTCAATTTGTTCAAATTAATCAGTCTACAGATCCCAACCTATACCATAAGCACAATTGTCTATGGCTACTTAGCTTCTATTTTCAAATAAAGCTGATATACTGACCAGGAGCCAAGGCTGATAAAATGCATAGCAAATTATATGTACATTTTGAACAATTAAACTGCTAATAAATACATTACAGCCTCGGTAAAACCAATAAAATGTATCGGGGTCGGCATGAAAAAATAGGGTCGGTCGGGAAATTGGAAACACTGCTATATTTTTATTTGGCCTAATCCAAGTACAGGTGCTGCCCACCTCCCCCATAAGATTAAATATGGAATAGCCCTAATATGTAATAGCTCTTATTATTTTCATTATTTCAATATTATATATCATTTTTTCCATATAAATACATGGAACAAAATAGTTTTAAGAAGATTCAGAAATATTGATGTGTAGTATTATGAAGTAATTGATCAATTACATTAAATATTGTTTAGAATCTGTTATGTTAAATAACTGCCTTTTTCTGTTCTCTAGCCATCATCGACTTAAATGGAAGATTTTTTGGTGGACGTATTGTGAAAGCTTGCTTCTACAATTTGGATAAGTTCCGAAGGCTAGATTTAGCAGATGAAGTTGAATGACAAGGGCTTTGTTTTCAGAGGGTGTGGTTGAATGAGTGAGAATGTGTGAGAGTTGGACTAAAAATTTGGAATGGCTATAAACAACTTTGTGAATTTGAATAAATTTACAACAATATTCTGGCCAAGTTTATGTATACAAGCATTGCATTTTACATCTAAAGCAAACACAATGTATGTTTGAGGTCATTTACATAATCTTAGATATTTAGGTAAAATATGATGTGCTGAGATGTTCTTGTGCACTTTTTTTTGTTTAAATATTCATTTCTAATAATCATTTAAAATAAAGACTTACAAAAGCCAAATTTTCTTCGTTTGCTATTTAAGCATGCCATCAAAGACTTACACACTGTAGTCAAAATGGCATCTTTTTACATTTCAATGTTGCATGGAAATTGTCGTTTTATACAAAAAAATGCCACAAATCTTGATTATGTGATAAAGAGGGTCTCATTTCATAAATCTCATATGAAATAAGTAAGTGCTTAAGGTCACCCAGTCTATCAATGCGAGACCCTCAAATGCATCAAAAGCTGCTTAAAAAATAATACTAGTAATCTAAAATATTCATTTTGAACTCAAAAGATCTATTAAACTTTAAAGTGCATATTCCAGATTGAAATATATTTCATCAGGTATACATTTTGATATTTTTGCCCGATTCTGTTATTTTGAATACTAATATAGGATTTAATTGGCTGCTATAATTATAACAGAAAGTCACACTTGTTGCAATAACATTCAGTGCTTTTGTTTGAAGGGTTTTTTTTCTCTATAAGAAAAAATCATCTTTAGCTCACCTGGTCCGAAGGACCATGATGAGCTTATGCCATACCGCAGCGGCCATCGTCTGTTTATCGTCGTCTTCCGTCCATCAAATTTTCCTTTAAAACGCAACTAGTCCTGAATGGCCAAGTAGATTTTGACTAATTTGGTCTGGAGCATCCTTAGGCCAAGGGGATTCAATTTTGTATAAACAATGGTGTGGACCCCTAGGGGGCAGAGAGGCGGGCCCAATTGGGGAAATAGAGGTTAAACCTTTAAGATCATTCTTTTACCGTAGGGATTAAGGGATTTTATCCTAATTTAGTCTGGAGCATCCTTGGGGCCAATGGGACTCAATTTTGTACAAACGGTGGGTGTGACCACCCTGAAGGGCAGAGAGGCGGGGCCCAATAAGAGATATAGAGGAATAGCTTTAATATCCTTCTTTTGTTTGGATGAAGCTATTTTGAACAGTAGCATCCTATTTGGAAGGGAAACCAATTTTGTATAAATGGTGGGTTTGAAACACATGGGGGCAGAGGGGCGTGGTCTAATAATGAAAATAGAAAATAGCTTCAAAATCCTTTTTCTGTAGGAATTGCATGATTATGTCCATATTTGATCTAAAGCATCCTTGGATGAAGCAAACCTAATTTTGTATCAACGGTGGGTCTAAAACCAAAAATAACCTCATCATTTCAGAGCAGTGGATTTCCATGGGAAATGGTTAAAAAATTGTTTACAGTAATGAATTCTTAAAACAATGTTTAGGTAATTATAAAGGTTTGGTAGGGGTACTTAATAAGACAGTTTCTATGTACAGTACTATAGGGAGTGTTATTAGTCAAGATCAAAACCCAACAAATTATTGATGTACCATCAATGTTCAAGCATTCAGGTGCAGAATGTCAGTCCATTGAGTATTCTTGGTCAACTCAAAGTTTTTCTTCGGTGTAAAACATGAGCAACCTTTTCACAATGTTTCACAGTCGCATACTCTCAAAGGTCTAGGTCACTGTAAGATTAAAGGTCAAATTATCTTATTGCTAATCTGGTCAAGACTTAATACAGAAGAGCTCATGATTACATCACAAACCATTCCTGTCTTAAACTCAAGTTCACACAGCAAGGGTCAAAGGTTGAATAATTTAATTCTTGTCGGAACAATAACTTGCAGGCCTGAATATGAATTGATGAAACTTTATGACTATACAGTAAATTTTGTATCAATAAACCTTGTGTAACCCCACGAAATCAAGTCAGAAGTCCAAACCATTATAAAGCTTGTCAGGAACAGCTGAATTATGTCATTTACAGCTCTTCATGTCTATTCTAAACTTGTCATGAATCAGTCTAATCATTGTCCAAGCAATGATTTTGCTACTGCTGAACCATGTTAATAAATTCCATTTATGAATGTATGAGGAGGACCAGACCAGACAATGCATTACAGTAGAGATCATGTGTTGCTTTAAAACATTTTAACAAATAATTAAGTGTTTTGTCAGTTCCTTAAAACCATCAATATTACTTTGCACATAATTAAATTATAAGAATTATAAAAAAAGTATAATATAATGATTTTGAAAGGTTCAACCTATTTTATTGTTGAAATGAAATTATAAATACTTTCAGATCACAATCAATAGTTCACAGTGTAAGTCAATGGGGATTTTCTTTAAAACATGAACATTAGAAGAGAGTACTTCAATACTCTAGCATATTCACCTGCAAGTACATTATATGATATCAGACTTGGTCAGTGTACAGATGTTCTAAAATGCAGATTTGCAAAGCTTCAATTTTATCAATGAAAACAACTTTTCCCCATGATGGCCATATTGTTTATAAACTTACAATTCTAGGATACCTTTTTTTTGGCTTTATGTGAATCGCAAAGACCAAGTCATAATTCATCAAAAATTGATTACAATATAAAATGAAACAGAAACATATGTTACCTTTAACATGAAAAAATTAACAATACAGAATAACATGAGGATGGGAGTAGTTTGTAAATGAATTCATATGGAAACGATGAATTATGATACACATTACCTTAACATTAAGGTAAATTGCATTTATGCACACAATCTTTCTTATATCTCTAAATCCAAAATACTTAACATTCATTATATGTAAATATTCTTATATATGTGACTTCACATTTGACTTGAAATAAACATCCATTCACTTTCATGCTTCAGCCACACTAGTACTCTTGCATCCCTGTATAACACATTTACACTATAATATTGGGGGTTTTTTTTGGTGTTTTTTTACAAAAGTAATTCAATGCTTACTTAAGATTGGTATATTTATATATATATATATACATGTAAGTTATATTATCAGTACGTGTCTGTTCTATAGAATAGGAAAACTCCACCTCCAGTTTATATTCAAAATTCCAACTGAGAAGAGAACAAAATGCCCGGTATTTACAAACAGTTAAAATCAAAACACACATTTATTTTTTATTCAAATCTCATAAAAGCAAAAAATAGTAAGATTAAAACTACTGTATCTGGTTTTTATATTGTCAGACATATCTCTTTTAAATATTTTTTGCACTATTTGTAAATACTGTACATGTGGGAAGTAAATATTAAGAAGAATTAAAGCCTTCACATCATATCTATTTCCAGCTCTCAATATACATAAATAAGACATCATATAAATAAATGTCTCTCAATGGCAATTGAGTGCATTAGCACAGTAAAACAGAATACTTAAAACCACTGTACAACAAAAGAACAAATACATGCATTAAGTAAGAAATAAATTATCAGTGATTAAGCTACAAAACATCAGAAAATCTTTACTTCCATAGAAGTTTACAAGATTTTCGTCATACTGTTGTTTCACTAACAACTTTGTAGTCTTAGCACTCGCCACATCAAGTTACAAGGAGTAGAATAGATCAGGATTTTAATATTACTGCAGATATTTTCTTCTGTTAGCCAGAGTTTATATGGATGCCCAGCACCTTCTGAAACTCTGCCTAAACTTTTATAAACAGTATATAAAATTAAATTAAATGAGCATCAGAGATGTCCTGAAGGTCCTCGAGGATATGCGTATATGTTCTGCTGAGGTCCTGTTAGATGTCCTTCCGTAGGTTTGTAAGATGTCCTCCTGTAGGTTTGTGAGATGTCCTCCTGTAGGTTGGTGAGATGTCCTCCTGTAGGTTTGTGAGATGTCCTCCTGCAGGTGTGTGAAATGTCCTCCTGCAGGTTTGTGAGATGTCCTGTAGGTTTGTGAGATGTCCTCCTGTAGGTTTGTGAGATGTCCTTCTGTAGGTTTGTGAGATGTCCTTCTGTAGGTTTGTGAGATGTCCTCCTGTAGGTTTGTGAGATGTCCTTCTGTAGGTTTGTGAAATGTCCTCCTGTAGGTTTGTGAGATGTCCTCCTGTAGGTTTGTGAGATGTCCTTCTGCAGGTTTGTGAAATGTCCTCCAGCAGGTTTGTGAAATGTCCTCCTGTAGGTTTGTGAGATGTCCTCCTGCAGGTTTGTGAGATGTCCTTCCACAGGTTTGTGAAATGTCCTCCTGTAGGTTTGTGAGATGTCCTTCCACAGGTTTGTGAGATGTCCTCCTGTAGGTTTGTGAGATGTCCTCCTGTACTTTGTGAGATGTCCTCCTGTAGGTTTGTTAAATGTCTAGGATTTTGAAGATATTTGTGTGAAGGTTCTTCGGGGTATCTGGGAGATTTCCTCCTGGATTTCTGTAAGTTTCGGTATCTACTCAGTATAACTTAATGTGTGGATTTACACTCGACTATGGTCTCCCATAAAGGGAATCAACACAGCCGAGTGTTTACCTTCCTCATCCTCCGCCACCCATTGGTGGGGCACTAGGTCCTCCTAAAATGATAGATGCAGTAACATGCATTAAATGTAATCCAATAAATAGTTGTATACATAGTATACATGGTTTATTTTACCGTATAATTTAATGCTGTTAATTATGTGATTATAATAGCCATAACAATACAAAAGACAATGCTTACAAGATACTGTTGTACAAACTTTTTTAAGTTAACATACTTAAAAGTTGAACTTTTCATTTCATTGTTGATTTTTTGATAAACAAAATGTACAAGTCCTGGGATTTTTAATGACGCCCAAGATAAAAAAATATTTTTTTTATAATTTTCTGTATATGTTTTTCAGAAATTCTAAATTTAATGATGTAAAGTTCATGCAATCAGAAGATTTCTCTTTGTGTAGGTAACTTGAACGTGAGGTGGAATTGTCGACATAAACTTACCTCCACCGCCTCTAAATCCACCCATTCTTCTCCTTGGAGGGGGTGGGGGCCTGAAGAAAACATGCATCAAGGTCATTTGATCACTTGAAATACATATTTAACATACATGTATTTACAATTTATAACATGCTGTGGGTTACGTATTTAAAAGAAAGAAATGTACAGAAGTAACAAATATAAACCATCAATTAAGAAACAGTCAAATTTAAAAAGAGGAATATTATTAAAGTATAGAGGTGGTACTCCTTATTCCCCTGTTCACTTCTATTTTACTACATGTACATTACTGTACTGGTAATATAAAATATTCACAAAAGACTTGAGTACATGTAAATATACAGTGTATATGATTATAATAAGGAATGACTAACAAACTAAATAATAAAAGTATTACTACTGAACATGAACAGCCAGTAATTGAGAAGTTTAAAACATACTATGGGCCATTACCCAGTTTTCAACTATTACAATGAGCCAGTTTCTATATATAAATCTACATGAAATCTTCCTAAATTTAACAGGTCATTCCTATCTTGAATGCAAACATGGAAACCGTCCTTCTTTATCCCTGGTTAATGTTTGTGCACCTCAGTGTTCATTATACACACACTTGATTATGTGTTATAACATTTCTTCTAGAAATACTGGTGCAATACTAGCCACTCACCCCTGTCCTGATCGGTAGTCGGTCACGTGAGAGTTACCTTTCTTTGTCATACTGGGCTGTAAATTAAGTATTATATATATATGTAAATATATTGGAAAACTATAACAGTAAAATTCAGTGGTACCGAGTCAGAGTGACATAAACACATAACATGAAAGATCTGTATAATAATCAAGCAGATTTACATTTACATGACACCGGGTTGGTTTTCTTTAGAACTACATTGTTTGATACATGAAGTATTCCGTCTTTGCGTATTGCAGAGTTACATGTATCTTCTCTTGTGAGCAGGTATTGATTGTTACGTCATTTGTTTGTGTGAGAAAATTACATCGTTTTCTCAAAAATTGATGACGTTACTCTCACAAACAAATGACGTAACAATCAATACCTGCTCACAAGAGAAATAACTCTGCAATATGCAAAGATGGAATAGAGCTTTACATTAATTTTCATTAATTAAATTCGCCTTTTGTAAGATATATGTTGGATAAACAACTATGAACATGTACACAATAATTTGATTTTATCAATTTATGTGTTCTATCATCTGTAGTTTTAATATATATCATGAAGGATCAACTAAGAGTATATGGTATATAATCTACAGTCTTTTTTTCAACACACGGACATGTATTATAATCTGTGTCTTTAAAAAGCTTTTAAGCGTATGAATATACTTACTGACACCAAAGTCTGGAAGCTGAAAAAAAATATGAAGCATGTTGGATCATTGAAAAATAAACTGGTAACCTGTTAGCATTAGAATAGATAATATATATATATATAACACCACATAGTGGAGTTGTACCACCATTGCCATTCGCAAGTTTTTATATGTTTATAGTTATAGACTTTTTAAATTTCCAGGGATTATCAAGAGATCATGGATGTTTTGTGGTGAAAAAAAATACATTGTTCAACATTTTAGTACTTACAATAGTACAATGAAATTAATTAGTCCCCAAAACATTTCTGGAATGTAGGACAGTCTCCATGGTGACTGTGAGTCGACCACATTCCCTGTAACAAAAAGTCATATTTTGAAATTAAAATCTACACAGGAATTCATATATATTTATTGTGTTACATGTTCACAACACTAGTATATATATGTACATATGTAGTCAAGCATGGTATGCACATCAGTTTACTAATCACTGCTCTACCAGGTGAAATATGGAAATTCATTTAAGCCGAGTTTGTATTCACCACTGTAACTGTTACATATATACCTTCTCATGGAAAGAACCATTCATTTGAGTAAATAACTTAATACAATCTATACAATGTTTGAGGAATTAGATTATCGTTCAAAGTGCACAATTCCTTTCATTGGTGCAAATTAAATGATGTCTCTGATATAAGGAGTCTGAGGTCATTTCTCAAGCACCAAAATTAAGGGCTTAAAGCTGAATCTATAAAATACAAGTGACAAGTCCAATACTTTACCAACTAATATCAATTACAAGGAAAGTCTTTCTTGGTTCACCCCTGCGACAATGTAATTATCAATCATCTTAACTGAGATTGCATTTCTTACTTTCAGTTTATATAGCACTCTATGTATGCTGCCACTTTTGTTAATTTAATAAGTGTATCTGCAATATGTCTGACGCTTGGTAGTCCACTTCAAATAACATTTTACACAGTTTTAAATAATTTCTTCAGGTGCAAAAAAGTTTCGTGATTATAGGAACTCAGAAATAATTAAGAAACATTCCTCTGTTCCTGTGAATTATGATCTATTAAATTATAATTCTACACTCCATTAGATCGGTCACTGGTATTATAGGCTACTAACCCGAGTTTCCTCTGGCCCCACACTAGCTGCAATAACATAGCCTCTGATGATAGGACTTTTTTTATATATATATTGCCAGGTCCAGTACACTCTGCCGATTGAGCTATATATAATATATATAACTGATCTATCTGAAATAGGACTTTTGAGCTATTTTCATGTGATTTTCTTTTTAAGGAAAACTTAACAAATTTGCTTTTAAAAGAAGATTTTATCATTAGGTTGATAACAAAAGACATTAAATATAAGTTTTCTTTTTTAAGAATATTGTAAAAAAGTCGCAAATTTTGCATTTATGAAAAATGATTTTTTTTTTATAAATGTATGCTTTTTGTAGTCAACATTACCATCAACATTGTTTTATGCGACTTTGTTTCAATTTAATGGAAATTTGAGTGTACTGGACCTGATTGCGTCAGACTCAGAGGCCGGATATTAATATTAGTACTAGCCAACACACCAGCCATCTATCTGTCAAAATGTCTAAGTCTGGTGTCAAGGCCAGATGAAACTCAGTTTACATAGGCTAACAAGCTAGAAATAAGACCATAACGTCTACTTAGTGTTTTTCCATCCATTTCCAGCTATTTTTAGAATGTGAAATGATCACAGATCTCGAAGGTTCGCTTTCAATTTCATTACAGAAAAAATATAAAGATATCTAGTCATTCTGAAAATGTATCGATACAAAGAAATTTACACGTTTGCCAAGTATACTATTTGCTTTGGTTAACTGTTTGATATGAAAGAAAATGATGAAGAAATAAATGAGGTCGTCGTGGACCGGAAGGGTAAACATTCACTGTTTTATCTGCATACAGTGTACAATGACGATAATTTGGTATATCTTACAATTACAATAGTTGACATACTCAAACTGTGACAGATGTTTCGCCCTTATATCAGAGATTTCACTGACATAAAGTATTTTCACTTACCTTGTGACACGTAAACCATCTTGTTTATTTTCGGCTTGTCACACGTCCTGGTCAATCTAAAGCTTCAACTTTCGAACCAGGAATAAGGCAAATAAAGCGTCTTTAAAATCCCGATCGAATAACATTACAGTAGTTAGGCAAATAGGGATGAAGTTCGGCAAATCATGACTAGGCCTACTAGTACACTACTAACTTTCATGCAACGAATCTGTAGCACTTGTAAATGTCACTTTTGTAATAGAAAATTAACATTGATATTTCACAAACAATCGTTAAAATTAGTTGACCAGAATTACAAAGGAATGTTTTTTTTAACATATGAAATCTCCAATATACTTAAAGCTAACATTACAATATGATAAATCAAAGCTTTGTATTTTTTCTTATTTTCGATCATTTTACCAGTCCGGAGAATTTCCCCGAGAATTGTTCATTCCACAGGTATATTTGGGCCTGAACTAACAAGTTCAGAGTAGTTTTACCTGTTTTAGGAGTTTAGATCGACTTTCGGTAAAAATGACACCCCAATGATTATATATATAAAAACGACACCCAACACCCCCAATGATAACCATTTGGGGTGTCATTTTTACCGAAGGTCGATCTAAACCTCTAAAACATGTAAAATTACCACGAACGCATTATTTAGCTGTAACAAATTGCCAGGTCCCTGTGGTTCATTCCTCCATTTCAGACACAGTCGCAAAACCTTTGAGGTCGTATAGATTCTAACCCAGTCTCGCGTCTTTGCATACCCCACTTCTGCTGATTAATGTAGTATATGTGGCTGGAGATGATATTTCAGCATTTTTTTTATACATAAAACATATAATATCAGGTATATACTAGCCCGAGTTTTCAGACTTAAACATTTTGACAGATAGATGTCCACACCTGACATCTATATATACCGTCACTATACTCAAATCGGGACAGTACCGAAAACGGGACACTTATGGGAGAACGGCCCAATAAACTGTCATTCAAAGCAAAGAAGTACATTATGTATACAGTTTTCATTTCATGATACCTTTCTGATAACTTAACTGTATGTAAGCTTTAATGGCTGCTGATTGTCGATGCATGGACAATTTGAAGGTAAGAATAATGACCAAAACAAAACTTTCCCGATTTACGTGCCGTGCGATTTACGTGTCATGTCTGAAGTCTGGGCCCGTATTCATAAAACCGTTCTCGTGCTCAAGCATGGTTTCTGTGCTCAAACCAACTTTCTTTTAACTCGCTTAAATCATGTCAAATGATCAAAAAGTCAAAAATAAACATTGAAAACAGTTTTCGTCTTTAAGTCTCTTCAACGTTTTCCCAAACCATTGCCAAAATAAGATTTACTTATTAATGCATAGCCTTAACAAGAAATTCGGCTTGAGCACAAAATCCATGGTTCTTCAGCATGAGAACGGTTTCATGAATACGGGCCCTGGTCACTGTGTAAGGGCCAGAGGAAACTCGGGCTACTGCCCATACATATACGGTATAATTTTAATTTTCAATTAATTACTGAAATTGTATGAAATATGCTGTATAATATACACATATTATGTGCATGTACTCGTGGTCATCGATAACATTCCGTGGTGTCACAATTCAGTTTACAGTCCTTTGCTATATATATATATATATATACAATAAAAACATTTTTTTCAGATCGTCCGCTAGGCCTTTCTGCCTTCTAGGGCTTCTTCAGGCGGATACATATATATAATAAAAAGGGATTAAATGTCCATGCGAAGGAAGTAAATATAGAAAAAATAAGATTACCGACCGACTAAACCTGAAGAGCCCTGTGAAGGGTGAAAGCAGCTAGTTTTATAGTCGGTCGTTAATCTCTCTCTCTCTCTCTCTCTCTCTCTCTCTCTCTCTCTCT